GCTAAAGGCACGACCACCAATGGTGGAGCGGGCAGAGCGGGATACATGGAGCAGTCCAGAGTTTGCTGAGCGGAGGAAGTGGACAGTTTGATATGGGGTTAGCAGGTCACAGAGATAGGAAGGAGCAGGCGTGGAGGTGAGGACAAGGAATTTGAACTCTTATCCTCTGGTTGATGGGGAGCCACTGAAGTCGGTGAGGATGGGGGTGATGGACTCATGGAGCCTGGTGCGGAAAAGGACATGAACTGCAGAGTTCTGATGATCTTCAGCTTGTGGAGGGAAGAGTTGGGAAGGCTGACAAGCAGGGAGTTGATGTTGTTGAACCCATATGTAATAATAAATGTGCAGATGATCTTTTCGGTTGCCTGAGGGGAGAGGCAGCAGCTGAGTTGGGCAATGTTGCGGAGATGGGTGAAGGCAGAGTGGATCATCGCATGAATTTGGAGTTGCTATCAAAGGAGTTCCTCTGAGAAAATTTAAAGATATGACCTTGTGATGGTTCACCAACCAACCCCTCTCTCAAATTTCTACCTTATTTTCTGAAAGTGATAAACTGTGCTGTATTGCTGTTCTACTAACCTTCTCTAGTGCATTGTGGTATTCATGTTATAAAGAATTTGACTTTAACAATTATCCACAACTGTGTAATTTTAAGGGTATTTTTCATGTACATGTGGCAAGCATGGACATGCAGTCCGGTATGGATACTCTTTGAGCAATGGGATGGGTTTCTGCATGGGTTTCTGTGGAGTCCTGTAGCATAGCGGTTAGAGCACTCGCCTCGCAAGCAAGAGGACCTGTATTTAATTCCTGGAACCTGGTTGTTAGTTGATTGACAGATCGCTTTTCCTGGGGCTAAAATCCCTTCAATAAATAAATAACAATAATTTGGTCACTCAATCCACGAATGTTTGTGGGACACTGCTGTGTGCAATTGGCTGCTGCGTTTCGCCCACAAAATATACACTCAATTCATTTTACACTATATTCTGTGAAGCACTTTGAGACGTCTCGAAGACGTGATAAGGCGCTATATCAGATGCAAGGATTACTATTATGTGTCAGACATCTGTAGAACAATGGGGAAAAAAAGGCCTTTTTTTGTCTTAAAATGTAATGGATTGAGACCAGGTAGAATTTGGGGCTCAGATTGGATAGATTGGCATTGGGATGCTCCATTGTGGCAAGGAGAAAATAAATTTGGTAAAGTACTTATCTCTGTAGACCTTGTCAGTTCAAATCACAGAGGAGAATTTGGTGCTGACTGTGTAGATGTCTGACACAGATTCTCCTGTCCTTTGCTGCGAAGGAGGACGTGTAGCGGCTGCAGACAGCAAATGGAGGAGGCGAGGGAAGAGGCTTCATTGTTCTGCTAGTATAAAAGAGATACTGTAAAGACTGTCGCTCTACTGGTAAGCCATGTGGGAGGTCAGTTGGTAAATGATGCAGAGTTCCACTGAGTCAGCTGTAAAGCATGTAGCATAAATATTCATTGGAACTCTGCCTACCTCTGGGGACTGCCAGAATACCTGATTGATGGTGTGAGGCATTGGAATACAGAGTCAGTATGTGTACTCTTTTTGCAACAGTTTAAGTTTACAGTGAATGCTTTATATGGTTTCGGGGCAGTTTACCATAGTTTGGAGATCAAGTCTGCAGGTTGGGATTGAGTTGCACTTCATATGTCCTTTAGCATCACGTTGTCCAAACCATATTTGCCTCAAGTGGATAAAGTGAAAAGGCATGTTAAATATTCAACAGTATTAATGCTTTCACACATTTTATATTGTCTAAGAAGTGTTGGAATAAAACTGAATAAGAGGGTCTGTAATTGTTGCTTTCATTTAATCTCCCCCCGACCCCACCACCTCCCTTACATCGCTTTAAGGTTAGACACAAGAAACTTGTAGCAAACTTTTTATGTGAGTTTGATGCTGTTTAGTATTAGAAACTGTATCAAAAATCAAGCTTACAGAATGATCACTTGCTGTTACAGGCTAACTGAGTGTTGAAACTACAGTACATTAAACCCCTGCTAGCTGGACCAATGGGTGGAGGGCTGCCCGGTCTGGCTCAGCCCAAATTTTGGATGCCCAGTAAGACAGGGGTTTACTGTATATCAAATGCCAGGGTTGTTATTGTTACTGTATTTGAAATTTTAGAGAACAGAAGTGCCCCTGGGCTGATGTGTGGGGGGAGCTGTCAAGAGTTCTGCACCTGATTGCTATATGGTGACAACTGTTTACTCTCCCCTCACCCCCGTACCTTAATGTGTTTATGTGTGGCCATTGAGGACAGGGCGGCTTGGGTTCTGATACTGTCCGTGACAGAGTCTGCTAAAGCTCGCTGTCTGGCTCACACTCAAAGAATGGCTAATTGCCATAGTCCGTGGTACATTAGCAAATGTCGGCACGTTAGGAAAGAGGAAATTACTATCGTCTTGACTTGACAAAGCTACAGGTTATTTGTATCAGCTCTTGATAACTTGTCACTACGATTTAAATCATCATGCTGTCAATATCCCGGCTGCATTCAATTATGTATTTATACATATGCCTAATTCTCCACTCTGGATAACTCGTCACTGAGCCCTAAAGTATGTCAGTTTCTATTCCCCAACCAAGGCATGCACTGAGGTTGGTTGTGTAGCACCTCATATGGACATCTTACAATGAAGGTCACTGGACAGCAATGGGGAGCAGGAACTCCACATGTTGTTTTCCCCTCTTCCTTAGCCCAGGAATGTTGACAGATGTTGTTTATCAATTGACGCTGTGTCCACGATCAGCACAGAGCAGGGGTCAAAAATAAGAACATGAAGTGTGAAATGAAAGAGAGCTTTTTAGCTTTTCAGCCCTCCACAGCCAGGCAAAGCCCACTGTTTACACAGACCACACAAAACCTAATAATTTCTTGACTTAACTCCAACCTAGTGGCTAAAGTTTTACATATCGTTTTCCAATGCATTGTTTCTAATGTGCCCGCCATTAAATTTACTGTGACCTGAGTCATGGTTATACCCATTCTGATTTAGAATTTATAATCTGGAAGTGGGACCTACGTATCCCTCCGTCACCCAACAACATTCTGAATGGCAACGTCAGTTAAGCTGGCCCTGCCACATTGAATTTCTAACTTGCAGATGGTGGCTTTCACTGATGAGTCTTTTTTACAAAGGAGAATACTAAGTCGCATTATCTCGCTAACCAGCAATTGAAATTTAAACGCTCTGAGACGCCGCCCGGCGTGGAGGGTGCTATATAAATCTAAGTTGTTGTTGTTGAAAGACAGAAGTCCAATCCAACCCTCCTGACTTTTCAACAATCTGGCAGATTTCATGTGATAAATACCAAATATACCGGCAATTGGCTCCACTTTGGAAATTTGGGTTGAATTGAATTGTAACGCTCAGCTATGCTTCTATACATAGACCAGGAAGATTTCTTGATCTGTTAGCTGATCTCAACCAGGACATTAGAGAGAGTACAGATGGCCTCAGTATCTCTAAACTTGAGAACTGGGTCGGCTAATGTGTGAAAACTAGAAGTATGGAGTGAACCAGTGTCTAGGAAACCATACACAAGTATGAAGAGCTTCAGGGAATTAACATATTGACCATCTGCGTAAACATAAAATTCTGATGGCTTGGTTTTATTCCACTTGGGAAAGTGGAATGACTCCAAAATCCATTGCAAACTTGCTTTTATCTGGATTGTTCAAGTATTGTCCAATACTTGTAAGTAATTTGGTTTTTGATCACATATCCCAGGGTACTCATGATGCATTCTGAAGAAATGCATGAATTTCTGTATTCAACGACAAATTGCATCTATCTAGCGCTTTTCAAGTCAGGAGGACATGAGATTCAGAGATTTGTAAATGAAAAGTAGAGCAAGTTGAGGACTGGAATGTTGAACATTATGGTATGTAGTTAGCTGGTCTGGCAGCAGTAACTGTGGCCCACAATTTGTTTTGAATCAACGACTTTGTATTTTATTTTGGAGAGATTACTTATTTAAGGGAGTTGAAGCATGGAGAAAATAAAAACGTCATAGTTGCTATAGCTCTACTGTAATAACAAACACTTTTGATAGCTGTATAATCTTAGCGAATCAAGATGTGCATAAATTATTTTATACGTGCTTTTAAAAAATGTTTTTGTGGTGTGCAGTGGAAGTAAATAGCATTTGATAACTAAATATTTTTCAGCCATTTGGAGCTGTTAGATTGCAACACAAAGGAGTGTGGCAAAATGTATTATTAAGTGTTTGCCATGGCATGGCTAAGACAGCAGTCGGCGTGCACCAATTTGCCATCTTCTGCAGAAGCTATCTGTGCTGACCTGCAGAAGCTATCTGTACTGACCTTAAGGTAGAAAGGAAAAAGCAATAGGCAAGCAACTCTGTCCTCTTGCACCCTTCAATCTCATCCTTTTCCCCCTCCATAAGGTAATGAACCGGTTCTTTTGGGTAGGAAAAGCTTAAAGTGAAATTCATTGCTGTTTGTGTATACTATATTGTACTACAATTGGCCCCTATGCTTGGCATAGTGAGAGGAGGAAAAATTGGCCAAGGTTTCTGCTCCCAAAACTAAGAACTGTGAAGTAGCATTCTAGAAATGAGTGTTATGTGTGTAATTTACTGGGGAAATTATTATTAGCCCTATACTGCAAGTTTTCACAATCTATAATTGTTGCGGACACAATCATTTGGAGCTCTTGCTGGGGCTAGTTAACCATTTTATTGGATTGTTATAATTTGCACAATAAATAAAACAGAATGGCAAGGAGCCCACCCGAGCCAGGAGCTCTGATCAAATTCATGTTTCAGGTTAATATCAGGCTGGTTCAGTCTTTCTTCGCTGCTCAATTAGTTTAGAAATCTTCAGAGACTGCTCCATGGGGAGGAGGGGGATCTGACTTCCTAGACCAGAATAGTGGATTTCCATGTTTAAAAGTTTTTAAAAAATATTTTAGTAAAGTAGCTGTGATTGTGTTCCAGATTGAGGCTTCATGAAGAAAAAGTCATCAAAGATCGGCGATACCATCTCCGAACGTATCCAAATTGCTTTGTGGCTAAAGAATTAATCGATTGGCTTCTAGATCACAAAGATGCTACTGATAGGTCAACAGCAATCAAATTGATTCAAAAGCTGTTAGACAATAGTATCATCCACCACGGTAAACTCACAGAACTGTTTTGTTGTTTCACTTATTCTAATTACCATTAGTAAATGCTTGATCACAGATGGTTGGAGTGTGCCCAAACCCTCATCCTATCAAGGACTTCCTGCTTTTCTCTTGTGGCATTGTGAGGGTGTTACTGGCTGGCACATGTTAGCTGCTGTATTTGCATACATAACATCAGTTTAGTTTCTGCTTCCATGAAGCAGTTCAAGATGTTTATTTTATGTGAAAGAGCTATGTTACTGTGTGCTATCTTCCCAACCCTTTCCCAATGATGCACTTATAATAATAATACTAAACAATCAGCAATCTGCTTTTAAGTTCTAAAATTCACTTAAAATCGTTTTTCTTTTGAAAATATACAGAATTGAGCAAAATATATCCAGTAATGACAACAACAAAATAAATAGTGACCAGCGGATAAAATTTAATTTTAAGAATGAGAAACCGATCAAGTCACATAATTAATTATATAAATGATATAAATGTACATTTTATATAAAAAATAAAATAGCCTGAACAAGGTAATCATCAAAGCAGAATTTTTTTTGCTGTTAAATGATAATTCTGGTGACTTTTGTTTTAACCTTAAACCTAACAAATGAACACATATAAAATACTGATGTCCAAATAAAGAGATCCAACAACAACAACAAATTACGTTTGTATAGCGCTTTTCGCGTAGGTTAATCCAATTAATCTAGTCTCAATAGTACAGGGAAGCAAGTGGAATATTCCCTTCCTGACTATTGTGGATAGTTGAAGAGCAGCTAAAGGTTCGACTGTACAATACTTACAGTATTCAGGCATCCTGGCTTTCTTTAATCCAGCTGCGATTTCTTTTAACACGGCTATTATTATTTTTTTCTTCATTTTTGGAATTTAATAAACCCTCAATTTGTTGGAAAAAGAAAAGCATCAATATTCTGAACAGTGGTTTATTTTTCATGGTGCAAGTGGGTATCAGTCAAACATGAAGCCGCGCAGTAGCAAGACTTCAAAGTAGAGATGGCAAACACGAACAAAAGCAGAAATCTGCTTCTCTCATTAAAAGGGCATTATTAATTATGATATATAATAATGTTTTTGCATTGCTTGTGGATTATTTTACATTGATCTGATTTGTAATGTTCCAAACCCTAACCTACTCAATTTAAGATTTATTTTTTCTTCAGTTTGTGATGAACACAAAGAATTTAAGGATGCAAAGGTATTTTATCGCTTCAGAAAAGATGATGGAACTTTCCCGCTGGACAGTGAAGTCAGGGTTTTCACAAGAGGACAAAGGTTGTATGAAAAGTAGGTGGATTTTCTCAGTTTATAAAATAGAGAGATTATGTGGGGCCTTGGTTCAGTGTTTTGATAGTTTTCACGTCCATTTATTATGAATAAATAAATAATAATAATCCTTGCTTTTGATGTTGTGCCTATAGCATTGAAATGTCTCTAAATGTCAGTTTACTCATCATCTATTCGGCAGACATCATTGCACTTGACCATATTTACTGTAAAGTCTTTGAGATGTTTTGACATGAAGTGCTATAAAAATGTAAGCTCTTCCATTCTTTTCACTTTAATGTAACAGATCTTTCTGAAGTACCTTGAAGTTTTGTAAATGCTCTTCAGCCTGTTCCCAGTGCAATAACCAGAAGCACAATAGCTGTAAGTTCACAAATGATTCAAACAAAGTAATCTACTTTTATACGCACAAATTTAAGACATGTAAGCTGTCTTACAGGATTAGTAGGAAAGGATTTATCTTTCCTAAAACTAGTTTCTAGATGAAAAAATGCAGATTTTCTGATAAAGTCACAGTAGGTACCTTAATAGGAAAATCTCTTTAGTGTAATACATCTGAAGGCCTTTGCTGAGGGCATGCAGTGGGAAGCAGAAGAAAAACCCTTGATTTACCCTGTTGAGCAGATTTATAATGATCTTGCCCACTTGAAGCAAGCTGGTGGCTTTTTGAAAGATGTCAGCATTGCAGGAGATCAAAGAGATGATTCTGTCTTTTGACTTGGGCCAGAATGGTACATGGTATAGTGAGACTCAAACCGGAGAGAAGAAAATCAGATTCAATGCATCTTGCATCTCCAATTGTACACAATGAACCTCTAATTAGTATTGCATATTTAAAGTATCTTTATTTTGTGTAAATTAGTACATTAAAGCCCAGGTGCCAAATAACTGTTCCATTTCTTCAACTAGTTTCTAAACTAACAAAAAGATACAGATCTAGCCACAAGCTAACTTGGTTCTCCTTGCTGTAATTTTGGCTTTCGTTGTATTAAACCACAATTCTGCTGTGTTGCACAGTGTCTTGATTATGCAATGCTTGCAATAACTTTGAGAGATTCCGGAAGTTCTGAAGTACATCTATCTTTGTTGTTTGGTTGCTAAATTAGTTGTTGACCAGTTTTCTGCGTTCCTGTTCTGAAAACCAATTTTTCCCCTTTTCATCATAAGGTGAATATTTCTACCAGACACAGTTGGAGTAAAATTCCACCTTTTTCTAGATTTACTCTACCAATGTAGCATTTCAGAGCATGCAATACACTCAAATTTACATTTATATCATGCCATTCATGTCAGGAGGATGTCTGAAAGCGCTTGAGAAAGCTGGATGGGTAGTGGAGTTGGGGGTGGGAGCTGAGGGAGAGGGAATGCAGAGGGGTAGAGCATGTAGAATTTGGAAATGTTTTTTGTAAAAAAAACTGCTAATTTCTATACATTTGTTTTAGAAACCACAGAAAACTGGCTTCAAAGTAATGCTGAAATCAACAATTTGCCAAATTCTTTAAATGCAACATTAATAGAGTAAATTTAGAGCTAAATGGAATTCTATCCCATAGATGCTTTAATCATTGATCATCCAGAAAAGTGAGGCTGTCAAACCATTTTTAATTTTTTTCCAATTCCCAAGATGTTTTTTAATTGATGTTGAGGTTAGCATCACTGGGGTCTAGACAATGCACTGGTGGTTTAAAAATAACTATGTCTGAGTGACTTGTTTCTAATGGGAAATTCCATTATAAACCAGTCATCGTTATTTGTAGCAGTCGACATTTTAGATTGTATTGATTTTTTTCCTTTAGCATCGTGCTTTTTGCTCCAGCTCTTCAAGTGATTTGTTTATAAAAAATATATCCTGAATTCGGGCTACATTTTGAATAGAAATTAGTTTTCTGTAAAGTAGGAAATTGAGCAGAGCTCCCCCAATGAGGAACTAAACCATATGGAAGATTACGCATATTAAAATAATCTAATAAATGATGGCCAACATGTGTTCAGAAAGAATAGGTCTTATCTGCCCAATAACAGATTTTTGTTGAGATGACAGCCCAAATTGACTGTGGGATTCCCCATGATGTAGTACATCTAGACTTCCAATAAATGTTTGATAAAGTACTTCATAAAAGATTCCTCCGCAAATTCTGTCAACTAGTTTATGGATCCCATGACACCACTCAAAGAGAAGGGAATTTCTCCTGGTGTCCTGGCCAACGGTCCCCAGATAAAATTGGTCTTTCACTTCATGGCTGTTTGTGGAACAATGCTTTGTATAAATTGGTTGCAAAAAATACTTGCTACATTTTACGGAAAATTCTGAAACACTTTGAATCATTTGTTATGGCTGCTAAATCAAATGCAAGGATTTTTCTGATTATAATCTTTACGATTATAACCTTAGAATGGTGGAACAGACTTGAAATATCTCTTCCTGTTGTTGTGTTCATGTAAATGTAAAGCACAAGGAAAATAAGGTCACTGCAGTCTATCTAACTGATAAAATAATAAATAGTACCACACCTCTGTTTTATCATACAATTCTCAAATTCTTTGAGAAATATTTCGCTAATTTCCTTCTCAGTTTGCTGCCTCTAATGACATGCTATCTGTGTAGTGGATTCAAGCAATTTAACATTTAAGTGCAATTCATAATAGAAAGCTTATAGGTTCCTAGTATTATTAGCTCTGATCCATTCATGTCAGCTGTATTTGCAGAATCCCTTCTTTCCATGGATCACTCAGTGTGACTGCAGGCATCCACCATAATTATTTTCCTTCAAGGACTGTCTTTGTCTTCCCACCAAAACAGGCTGATGAACTCTGAAAGCTTGCTGATGCAAATCCGGGAGGAAGAAGGGGAGAAATACCAGCGCACCTTTGTAGCTTGTGAACTTATCGACTGGCTGATGCAAGAAGGAGAGGTTGCCACAAGAAGTGAAGGAGAACAGCTTTGTTGTAGGCTGTTAGATCATGGCATTATTCAGCATGGTGAGGATCTTTAGTCCCGTTGGGACAGATTGTGTGAGATTATGGAACATTCTTCAGTTGGGTCTTGATTTGGAAACTGATCATTTTTAAGAACTGTAGGAACTCCAGATTAATGCTAGTTTTAAGAATTTTCCACTATTCTATGCAAACTTAAATTTAAAGATCTTAATGGGCTAAATGAGGTGGAATTTGGGGCTCGTAGTGTATACATATATTATAATGTATAAAAATGATGTATGAAATTGCAATTAAGACTAAACTGTATAATCCCTTTCAGTCTTCACCCATTTGACTTAATGTGTCCTTTAAGCAGCTATTAATGATTGATAATAGTGCATTTATGAAGCTCCTTTAGTAAGGGGAATGGACTGTGTGATATAGTATTGGGCATCACAAACCAGGAAGATCCAGAGATTGAGTCTGTGATACGTGCTGAGTGACCTAAATGTCAACCAATCCTGGGATAAGGTAACTCTGTACCTGGCCTCTGTCTGAGGTTGAAGGAAACGGGTGAATCAATTGCTGAGATTTAAAAAATGCTTTTCAGGAAAACAACAGATAAATGGCATTTTGCACTAGAAAAAAGTGCCTCAGGACATAAAACCTACAGGAAGATCTCAGGTTGGAGCCTGAGTTCTCAAGTTGGTGTGATCTAGATGGGTTCCCAGGAAGGGACACACTTTATGTTCTGAGGCATTTTTTTTCACATCACCAACTGCCATTAACTTGCAGTTTCCGCAGTGAACGTTTCATAACTGCCATAAACATTCGTGCCCGCCCCATCTCAGTTGAATAGTCTGCCAATATAATGTCAGGCCCAGGCATGCAGAATTGGCTCCGTGGTATAATACCCGCCAATACCTATTTGGCTGTAACCCAACATGAGATGCTGCTTTTAAGAGGGTAGTTTAAAAAGGTCTTGTTTGGAATTGAAGACTAATGTTCTAATTTTGCAATAATTTAATGTCTTGACTTTTAACAAAAAAACTATTGCAACTTCGGGAATATGAAATTGATTGTTGCAAGGAGCTTACCTTGTATTGTTTCGGAGCTTGACTTTAAATGAAGCAGTCTAGCTAAGCTGTCTGTAGAGACAGGCAGGAGCCTGTCTTTTGGGTGGTTGGAGGTAATAGATTGGGATTGGTGACTCAACAAGACTTGCGTTAGGGAACAGTGGACTACAGTAGTAATAAAACACACCCTGTGATACTTCATAATTGTGCAATCAAATTTTGCAGGCAGTTCCTTAAGAGCTTTGTCACAGGCGTGCAACTAGAAAGGAATGTGAAGTGTTCGTTTTAAGGGGTGAGTGATGCTTGGCTCCCATAAACTGGTGGACAGAGTCTCGAATCAGTTGAAAGCGAAGTTATTTTAAATCCTGGTAATTGAAAGTTCGTACATTTTAGGATGGTTTTGTACATTAGATTCAGCAGAGAAGTCGTAAATTGGTAAGTTTCTGTTAGTCCTGTTTGTCTTTTTAATATTTATCCTCTCCTGAAAATGCTGATTCATGGGAGGGTGCAGTTCATAGTTCTGCCAAACCCCAGGATCTCTGTGTTCTGTTATTGTCACGGGAACGTAGACAGTTGAATGTTCGTGAGCATCACATCCAAGCTTCAGGTACCAGTAGTTTCCATTTCCTTTCTCCTCTCCTCCCCTTCCCCTCCACCCCCCCATACTCGCTTCACAAAGAGCCAGTTTGAATAGTGATCAGGAGAATGGACCTGAGATTCCCTGCCCCCCACCAGGTCAGTTGTGGCATGATCACTGTTGCTTTGGTGTATTTGGGATATCTTTGATTTAATGCTGCGGAAGGTGGTGACTTTTTTTTTGTTTGGCGAGTAGATTTGAGTTTGGTGTTGTGAATGGTCTCTTCAGATCAATATCTTTCACAGTGCACTCTATTAATAACTTCTGCGTGATGTTATAACTAACATTTTAGTATTTAGCTCCCTGATGTTTCATTCTCAAATATTACATGTTGAAGAGTTGTGGTTAAATTTACTATTGCCTGTTTAGCCAGTTATAATGACAACAAATTATATTTATATAGCGCCCTTTACATTAGAAGGATAATGACTGTATTTAGCTCAACAGCTCTATTGTGCACTGTCTGTCATACAACAGAACTTCACTCAGTGCACCTAGTGTCTCTAAGGTGGGTGGGGGGCTGTGGTATAGTGTTGTGTAGAACTGTTCTGCAAATGCCCTCTTACTAGACAGTGAGCCTCTAAGGTATATGGTACCAGTGTACCTGCTGATGTGCCAACTGTGGAGAACTGATGTTTCTCTAGGAACCAGATCATGCAGACATTTTCTCCCCCTCAAACAGCTGAGATTTCTGTACTTTTTTTGCTTCTTCAAAACTGCTGAAAATTGTTCATGTGACATGTGCTTAAGGATGTTGTTGGAGAATCTTGATGTTGGACCTGCTGGTTTGTTTCTGTGGGTGTGAGCTGGTTTCTAACTACACCCCTCTTGCAACGGAATAGATCCCAGCTTTGTTTTGGTCTCATTAAATAAAGAGCGAATGAGGTTTCGAGCCACTCATTCGCTAAGCCAGGGAGTTGTATTAACCGAGGAATATTAAACCATGACAAGAGAAGTAAGGGATTTAATAAAAATCGGATTTTGTGTCCCTGCAATTATGACAAAATGCCCTTATCTCCAGCACGCTGATTACAGGGATAAAAGTCCAGGTTTTGTTTTGCTTTTGAAAGGTGACTTAATTAAATCGACATCTGCTGTTATAAATAAAAACAAATATCTTGGCCGTGAATGACGTACTTCGATACTTAACTAAGTCCCGAAAACTCTTGTTCAGAATGAGTAATTTTATGCCGATTGGGTGTGAATGTTGATTATTTCCACATTGTCCTAAATTTGAATTTTTGCATGCCTTTTTTAAAAAAAATTAAAGGGGAACTAAGAAAATGTGATCATATTGACATCAAACACTGGTCAGTTACGTTGAATAGAATTGAGAAAGAGGAAGCCTGGAGAAGTGTCTGGTAGGAAGCCCAGAGCTTTGTTCTGGATGCTTTTAAGTGCCTTGAACGGTTTTATTAAATTCTTCAGTGTTCATGTAAGTTTTTTGAATGATGGTTGTTGATTGGCATGTGGGGGGAGCTAAATACCACATTGTGATGTGGAGCTCAGGGAGACTCAAAGTGGATACTGCTTTTATGGAATATAAAATGCTATTGTTATTTCTACATTCGCACATGAGAGAATTCTTTATAAGTTAAAAGCTTTTGAAGCTTCCTCTGATGATCTACTGGCTAAAGGCACTGTACAAGGTCAAGTGGATTTGTGTTTAGCAGGTTTGAATTCTGATCTGTTTCAAGGTTAACTGGCAAGGTTTTCTGCTTCACAGCACTTTACAGTCTCCGCTGCTGGAAAGTGGGGAGAAATTCCATTTGGATCTAGATTTATACTATTTTCTTAGCAGAGCAGGCAAAAATGGCAATTTGTTGAATTTGGTGTTAAGTTTGAAGCCTGTTTTCAGCACCTTGCGGTGTCCTCCCGACGTGAATGTAAATGTACATTTGTTGTTGTTTTCCTGTATTTCTTGAGGTAACTTACAGAAAATTAGATTTCAAAGTAACTGTTTGAGTTTACCAAGTTCTGCCCGCACTGAAATGCTGAAAGATTATGTAAATCTAGAACCAGATCAAATTCCTTTTTGTGGTTATGCCTGGCTGTTAAGAATGTAGATATGAAATTGAGGTTGGTAATGCCTTTGAAATTGAGCCCAATTTTTTAAGAAAATGTCACAACCTTCTCTTCCGAGGTGAAAAATTGGCAAAAGAAATGGGTAGGGGGAGGAGTTGATAGAAGAGAAGTGGTTGGCACTGGGCCAGCTATGCCTATGAGTGATGTGATTTACACCAATTAATTTATCTACCTCAATACAGAGGAAAAATCTTTCTTACTCCAGGCAAAATGAGTTAGTGCATGGAGAAATGATTTGGTTTTGAAAATGGTGTGGGCACGCAGCCGAGCATCGGGGAGCTGTCTCCCAGCTACTCTATTTGTGCAAATTTTAAATCATTTTTCACTGTAATTCTTCTATCCGTTTATATTGGCTACAAGATGTTATACTACTGGCACCATTACAGTAATCCAGCAGATGCAAGCTATTGGTGTTTGTGATACATATTAATGTCTTTGTGACAAAAGGTCTCGAGCTGCTTAGGAAATTTTCTGAGTTTAAAGAACCACCAGATGCTGATGTGTCTTCCAAAGAATCCAATTGTGGGCAGTTACCCAACTATGCTTCTTAGGAATTATTTACTTTGAGTCTTTCCAAACCTTACAACTGGAAAAACATTAAATTCTAGGAAACACTAAACTGGGTTAAAATATTAAATGTAAAATTGAGCAGTTTTTCTCTTAGGATTTTTTTTTTTACAAAATCGCACTTTTTAATTAAAGATTGTTGGGTTATATTTGGTTAGAAGATTAAATATGAGATGTAAAATAGATCTTTCCACTCGCTAGTAAAGAATGTAAGTGTTGGGAACAGAAGATGAAAAGCCGGGTTCAGGTGTTTGTATGTACTAATGTGTAAGATTCTGGCATGAGCTGATAACTGCTGCTCTATTCACACTAACAGAAGCAGTTGGGTAACAGTCATAGCTAGAAATTGACAGTAAAACGCATGCATGCATCCTAGCCATGTCTGTCCTGTTAAACTGAACAGCCTTTATGTAGACCAGGGATGGGATGTTCCAGTGTTTAGTGATGATCACAGAAGCTCCTGTAAATAAAGCATTTGGAAACAATTACATGGTCACAATGGAACGATACAACCAGGTCTGTAATTTAACTGGAATCTTCCAAATTTTACCAAGAAGCTTCCAAAATGTTGTAATTCAGTCTAGAACAGAAGTGAATGAACAGCTTTTTAACCAACTCAACCGCCTTTCCTCCGCATCTGCTATAATGGCTTTTACTGTCTAATAAGCTGTCCATTCAGAGTCTGGCTTCCTCTGCGTTGTGCATTCATGCTCCTGATCAATTTGACAAACACCAATGAAAGAAATTCCATCTTTTTAACCAGCCGTCGTCATCTTCTCTCCCATTATTCTGGACACAGTGGCCAATAAGCCCCACTTTGTGGACAGTAACCTCCTGTACCAGTTCCGGACGAACTTTCGAAGAAGGCGACGTCTGCTAGAGCTGCTAAGTGAGAACCCAGCCTCGGTGCCTGATAGCCATGAGAGCCCTTTCTGTTTGCGCAAACAGAATTCAGACAACAGCAACATCAGTTTCCTCTCAGGTAAGATTGTTTTATATGAATCACCCATTGATTTTTTTTTAACAAAAGATCCCTGTTGGTTATACTTGATGATGAGGGTGATGTTATTCCCAGCCACGCTCTAAACAGTAATTTTCAGGATTGGCTGAGAGAAGCTGACTTGAAGCAGGTAGTGTTTTATTCTATTTACTAACTCTCTCTCTCCCTTTACATTTTGTACAGTATTTGGTTTTCCAAGTAGCTTTGATGTAGATGTATTATCAAATCTGTATGGTTGGCAAAACTACTTTGATGTACTGTTTTTTATTTTCTTCTCAAATATAACCTGTATTTAAGTCTAATCAGGTTTAGACTATGTGCAGCAATTTGCCCCAGTATTATACTGTGTAAATCCAATGTGTTTTATTTCAGAGGGTGCAATGTGCATTTCTGTTACAAGATTTTTTTTGTTTAGTTGAAATAAATGTAAGATATATAAAACATAAATATATGATCGCAAGCAATGAATCTCATAGGGAGTTTAAGAGGAACTTTACGCAGAGCAAGTTTGGAATATGGAACTCACTGCCAGAAGCTGTGCTAGAGGCAATAAGCATCAATATATTGAAGAGAAACGTGATGCATTCACTAGAGACCAAGGAATAGAGGGATATAGGAAAGGAGAATTGTGGGTGTGGAAGCTCATATGATTATAAATACCAGCATGGATGAGTTGGGCCAAATGGCCTGGTTCCGTACCATACCATTCTATGTAAATGTAAGCAAGTATCAAAACCTGAGTGCGCCTCCTTCAGCCCATATCTTTATTAAAGATTTCCTTTGAAATTCTAGCCACCTATTTCAACAATGTTGATTTCCTCGAGATCAGGTGGATTTTATTTGTGCATATCACTTTTATTAGAATATCTGCTTTTTATTATTATGCACAACTTGCATTCCCGCTTGGCACTCTTCCCTAGAAGCAGAGAAGATCTACAGTTGATGGGAGTGGTAATTCCTGATAATGGTGTTGAGGATGATGGGTTTTGGAAGTACATTTAGTAGATGGCTTTTATTATTGTGTTCACATCCTGGATAAGCAGTGTTGTTCAAACGTGTGAACTTCCACCTCATTTTAACTGCCGGAAGCTACTTGGCATGGTTGCTGTAAAGCTCTCACAGTGTTTGCAATGCCTTTCGAGGGATTCAAGTTATAGGTCAGGAAAGCAAAATACCCTTACATAAGAAATCCTAGATGAAAAAAAAAAACCAAGGTCCATCTAGTTCACCTTCCACCTTCCTGGTGGTCACATGCACCTATGTCCCAAACTACCCATGTACTATATCCCATTATGTTCTCATATCCTCATATACCGCCTCTCCGCTTTACTCAAACTTTACGGACCTGCCCTGGTTCAATTTCTCTCTCTCTCACCGTCTCCATTTTGTTGCCTCTAATGGTTTCTCCTCCAGCCCCCGCATTGTCACATCTGGCGTCCCCCAGGGCTCTGTCCTTGGCCCTCACCACTTTTATATCTACATGCTCCCCCTTGGTGATATCATCCACAGACATGGGGTCAACTTCCACATATATGCGGATGACACCTAACTCTTATCTTTCTGCCTCCACCTTCAACTCCAGGACCACTGCTGTCCTGACAGACTGCCTGTCGGACATCAAGTCCTGGATGAGGGCAAATTTCCTACAGTTGAATGTGAACAAGACTTAGTCCCTTCTGATTGGCTCGCACAGCACCTCCGGCTCTGGCAGCATCAACCTCCATGGTTGCACACGACAATTCACAAAGCCAGTCAGGAATCGAGGTGTCTTGTTTGACCCTCAACTGTCTTCTTCCCCACATCCAAGCCATGACCCGCTCTGCCTTCCCTCACCTCCGTAGCATCACCCGACTCCACCACTACCTCACCCCTCAGGCCACTGAAACTCTTGTTCATGCCTTCATCATCTCCAGGCTCGACTATGCAAATGCCCTGCTTGTCAGCCTTCCCAATTCCTCCCTCCACAGGCTGCAGATAATCCAGAACTCTGCAGCCCATGGCCTCTCCCGCAGCAAACTCCATGACCCCATATCTGCCACTCTCGCCCAACTCCATTGGCTCCCTATCCTTCAGAGGACCCAGTTCAAAATCCTGGTCCTCACCTACAAAGCCCTCCATGGCCTCCCCCCACCCTATCTCTGTGACCTCCTAACCCACTACCAACCTGCCCGTTCCCTCCGCTCAGCCGGCTCCGGCCTGCTCCACGTCCCCCAACCCACCCGCCCCACCATTGGTGGGAGAGCCTTTAGCCACTCTGCCCCCAACCTCTGGAATTCCATCCCCCAATCACTCCGCCTCACCCCCTCCTTAGCCTCTTTCAAGTCCCGCCTCAAGACCCTCCTCTTTGACCATGCCATCGGTCACCCCCACCCCCCCCCTGAAATGCTGTACACTGTCCAGCGCCTTGGGACGTCCTCCCGACATGAAAGGCGCTATACAAATGTAATCTTGTTGTTGTTATTTCCTGAAAGAAAACTATCTAATTTGTTTTTGAAAGAATCAACATTTCCTGCTTCAACCATCTCCCGAGGGAGCCTGTTCCACAGGTTTACTATTCGCTCACTGAAATAGTGTTTGCATTGATTCGTTCTGAATTTACCACCTTCGATCGCAGGCCGTGACCTATGGTTTTACTCTTCTGGACAAGTTGAAACAGCCAGTCATGATCTATATTGTCTTGCCCCTTTAGAATCTTGAAGACAGCAATCATGTCGCCTCTCAATTTTCTCTTTTCCAGCCTGAACATGCCCAAGTTACTTAGTCGCTCCTCATAGTTCAGTCCCCCCATTCCCTCAATCATTCTGGTTGCCCCCCTCTGTATCCTCTCAATTTCTCCCATATCCATTTTTTACTGCACGCAGTACTCTAAGTATGGTCTCACCAATGATTTATACATTGGCAGGATTACATGTCAATCTAATGCATGTCTAAACATTGCATCAGGTTTAGACCGTGTGCAGCAATTTGTTCTCCTCTAACGGTATAATGTCAATTACACCATATCCAAGACCACAATTTTCAATCTTCCTTTCTTTCTTTCCCCCTCTTCCATCTCTAGCACTTGGGGACTTGCATCACCTTTTATTGAGTCATCTTTCCCCCGATTTACTGTCTTTCCATGTTGAGAGTTGGTGCTCCCAAAATGAATATTCTTCTCTAGCTTTTTTGATCCAAATGCTTCAGTTAATATTTTCCAAATATAGTTTTGTGGAATTAGACTGTAAGATGTTGTATTCTATTTGGAGTGGATGAGATCCATATATTCTATTCAGGCAATTGCAAAACCCAACGGAACAAGAAGGAGTCTTGTTCCCAAACTCTTAGTTCTATTTCAGAGATGCTCAATTGTGATCCATCTTGGACTGGATTTGCATTACAGACACACATGAGGTTTGGGGTGGAGTGGGCTGCCTCATCCTTCAGGAATGGGCGGAAGCAGATTTCTGAAGCACCATCAGAAAGATGTTTCATGTCTCTCACTTATCTAAAGCTGGAACACTGCATTTCAATTCTTCCTTCCCACAAAAGTTCTCCCTCGAAGCTGTAACCTGGGTCCAGCTGTCGATTTTGTAAAGAAATACTTTGTGATGGCGCTCCTAAACTTGCGTTTCATAATCCCAAAACCTGTGATTTATTTTCCTGCTGCATGGCACATGTGAATGTATTGTTTAACTGTGTTTATCATCATCACCTTCATAAATGGTTGTATCTTGTTGTGGTTTGCAATGCATCCCCTGCTCCCCCCTATATACATGCTCTATATTTTGCAATAAAGCCAATAATTTGTATGCCGAGTTTAAATTTCTTTCAAAGACTACAGTCAGGATAGGTCAATAACATTTTTCTGCAGTGATTCGAGGCAGCCTATTTTTCTGGGATTACTCAGATTTCATCTTTCAAAATATCCGGTCAGGAATGAGTGTTGCAGAAAATGAGACTACAAAGAATGTTTACTTGAATAAGGAAGAATCCTTCATCTTATCTGGAATACTCAAAATTTAAAAACATGAAATGATGGAAATACACGACAAGTCAATTAACAAATGGGGGGGAAAAATAAATTCTTACTTTTAGTTTCTAGGTAACAGCATTTTGTTCCATCTCAGATTGCGTGGTGCATTTCCTTTGTCTTTTGGTGGATGATGATGATAATAATAATAACAATAATAATCCTTGCATTTGATATAGCACCTTATCACATCTTTGCGATGTCTCAAAGAGCTTCACAGAATATACTGTAAAGTGAATTGACTGTATATTTTGTGGACGAAACACGGCAGCCAATTGCACACAGCAGTGTCTCACAAACAGTTGTGAATTGAGTCCTGTACCTTAGTGGCTTAGTTAACATTTTATATACAAGGTGACCAAAAAGGCGTGATACCATTACAATGTCCAATAAGTCTCAAAGAAATTATAATTTTTTTCATAAAATCATAGAAGTGTCCATTCATGACGTGAAATAAGCAACTGTGGTTCGGCTTTGTAGTCCAACCTGATTTTTTGCCTTACCGTGATATCCACATGTATCCACTTTAAGCTTTTAAAGTGATCTAGCGTGGGAGGCCTGGATGCTCTGGCCCCCCATGTACATTGAGGCCATTTCTAAAACCTTGTTAATACTCTGGGGGCAACGGCTACCTCAGACCAGGGATTGATTTGTGATCTACAAAGACTGCACTTTTCACTCGGTGCAAGTGGCTGTATTAACGTGGCCAGCAGGGGAATTCTTTACCTTGTTAGAGCATCCAATTGTAAATCTCAGCACATATTTAAACTGGGAGTTTTAAATGGTCTCATTTAATTTATTAAAGTACTACATTAGAACACAGTATTACATTAGTTAACATTCAATAAAATATGCTTAAGAAAATGCGGGTAGTTTTTGTGCTAACCCTGTCGTAATACTGCGTCACAGCATCGCGGGTGGGGGAAGAAGACTGACGGCTGCTGCTGACGAATCCTAATAAAACCTCCAATGTAAAAATGAGACCATAAATCAAATAAATAGTTAATGCAAGGAATGAGTTTCATGTTGCAGTTTGATCATAAACTTCAACAAATTTCATTAGATTACTGTCCTGGGATTCCTCTGAGATTTTTTTAAAGAAAATGCTAATGTGAAGATTAACTTAGGAAAACCATTGATCTGTAGTTATTATTACACAGTGAGATAGTGACAGACTCTCTAGGTGGAACTGGAATGCTTCACGAAGGAGCTTTTAGTGTGTAAAGATCTATCAGTGTGTGCGGTAGTGGGAGAAGAGGGGAGGTGAGAAAGACGGAAATGAGAGATACAGAACAATATAGGAGACTTGGCAGAACTAGTTATGTGTAGCTCTCACTCTGCATGTTTGTCAGCTGACTTGAGTGACGTTGACAGCAGCAGTGGAAAAGTTTGTACGGTAGCCAGTCCTAGCACTCCTGGTGAGGTGTACAGATAGACCACTTCTTCGGATTTAGGTTACTGTTTGATTACTGCTCAGTTCAATAAATTGGCACAGGTAGGAATCCATCTCTTCAAGTGTGTAGTGCTTGTATGCTTGGTACATAAGGAATAAAATTGTGTGATTTAAGTATACAGAAGCCCTCGAAAGAGGCTTTATCGTTTCCTGTATTGGGTGCACTTGTATGCAAAGTGGCAAGAACTGATGACTTTTAAATATGTGCAGCTGTGATGTGTTCATCTACATTGGGGTCATTAATGCAAAAGTCGCTAAGAGTGAACTCTGCAGTTACCTAGAAAATAATAATAACAATAGTCCTGTAGCTCAGTGTTCAGAGCACTCACCTCGCAAGTGAGAGACCTGGGTTCGATTCCCAGCAGGGCGAAACGTTGGGCAAGTTTCTTTACTCCACACATCTCTGTTTACCAAGCAGTAAGTAGGAACCCGGTTGTTAGTCAATTGGTGGATCGCTTTTCCGGGGGTAATAATTGTTTAAAAATATAACAACAATAAGTTGGTCATTTCAATCCTGCTTGTGAGAAACTGCTGTGCACAATTGGCTGCCGAGTTTCACCCACAAAATATACAGTCAATTCACTTTACAGTGTAGTGTAGTGCTTTGAGATGTCTCGAAGACGTGATGAGGTGCTATATCAAATGCAAGGATTGTTATTATTAACAACAATACTACGTTTGATATAGCCATTTTACGTCACATAATATACTACAAAGTGGAATGACCAAGTATGCCGTGGGCAAAGGTGTCTCACACTGAGCTTTGGAGCTCCAATTTGTACTCGAATTTGACTTGCGTGAAAGTTATATAATTTCTTAACATATATATATATATGTGTCCAGTTTATTTGCTACCATTGCAGTTAAAATATTTTTTTTTAAAAATGGGTCAACTCACTGTGGCGGTCTCAATAGTCTGGTTCCTGAGCCAGAAGAGTCTGCAATACTCCAAGGCATTTAAGAAATATGCATATTTTGGTCAGCTGGGTCCTGTAGCTCAGTGGTTAGAGCACTTGCTTTTAAGCGAGAGACCTGAGTTCAATTCCAGGCAGGGCGAAACCTTGGGCAAGTTTCCTTACTCCACACGCCTAATAATAATCCCTCCAAAAAAACCAAAAACAATAAGAAATTGGTCATTTTCAATCTACGACTGTTTGTGGGACATTGCTGTGCGCAATTGGCTGCCGCGTTCGCCCACAAATATACAGTCAATTCACTTTACAGTGTGTTCTGTGAAGCGCTTTGGGACGTCCTCCCGACGTGAAAAGCGCTATATCAAATGCAAGGATTATTATTATTATTGGGTGTCTGACACACATGGATACCCCTCGCCATGCTAATAACCGGGTTCCCACTTATGTTACATAAACCGAGGTGTGTGTGTGTGGAGTAAGGAAACTTGCATAAGGTTTTGCCCCACTTGGGAATCGAACCTAGGTCCTCTCGCTTGCAAGGAGAGCGCTCTAATCACATTTAACCAGCTAAAACTTCATTGGGAATATGGTATGGCAATCTTCCTGCTGCTTATCCAGGTAGGATCATCCTACTGTTAGGACTTTGAATCGCAGGGTTAATGGAAATCAAGCGGGAAGAATCCCTGTGATTGATCTGCCTCCCGAGTCCTACTGATGAGTCAAGGTGGCTGATTTGTCATTAGTAATGCTTTGAAATATTACAGGCTCATCTGGATCAGGAACCAGTCTACTGAGTGATTATTGACTTGATTCTGATATTCTGCAGGCAAGCATGTCACCTTTTAGCCATCTCAGTCCCAAGAAGACTGTGTAACCCACTCCCCTTTCAGAAAGTTAGTGTGAATTTTAAAAGTTAATTTAGTCCTGGAAACGTAAAGGACAGCAGTGTGGAGTTGTCTGTTTCTAACACCTGAAGCATGAAAAAAAGATCACACAACTAAGTGTCGTTCGATGGAACATGACACTTCAGCTTTGGCTATTTGAAACCTCCTATATATGCTGTTCGTCCTGAGCCCCAGGAAGCAGAGACTGGAGCTGAGCCTGGCTAAAACAGGTGGACATTTCCAGTTCCAAATCCTGGAATGACCTTTTACAAGGTTTATTTCCAGGTCAAACAACCGAATGAGAGATCGTAGTGCTTCTCTGTTACATGTACAAAACAGCTGCCTTGTTGGCAGCCTCACTCCTGGTTGAGTAATGTAAATTTGACAAGTGTTTGTGCATTGACTCTTTGCGATCCAGCCCCCGGGAACTTTGTCCCTGAGGCAATGTTGTAACAGAGCATTATAATCCCTTGTATTTTAGAAGAATAATCTGGGCAACAACGTACTCTGTATTAGCCATAATTACTCTAAGAGCTTTAGAATCAGAATCCTATTCCGTCACGTCTTGTGTGCTTTGGATCATTCCTGTGAAACATTGTTTCTGTCTCACAAAGTAGTCACCAACTTTTCTGTACAGAAAGCTATCATTATTGTTACTGGCTTTTGTGATTATGGGAAATTTGTGATGTGTGACGTGATGATTATTACTGGTGACTTTTCACACCAATGTGATTACACTTGAAAGAGCTCTCTACTCCCTCTCCACTCTTCCTCCTAGCGCCTTTAAATACATCAAATTGTTTTGCTTTTTGCAGTATATTATTTTGATAACTTCTTTGTTCTCAAGCATGGGATTGCAGGTTAATTCTCAGTGTTTATAGCTCAGTGCTAACTACAATATAAACGTGCGCAATTGGCTGCTGTGTTTCGCCCACCAAATATACAGTCAATTAATTTTACAGTATATTGTGTAAAGTGCTTTGAGATATCTAGAAGACACAATAAGGCCCTATATCGAATGCAAGGATTATTACTATTTATTTATAAAAGTTGGAACAAGAAAAAGCCTTTTACCCCATTGAATTGAGCAAACTGCTTCAGGAGGCCATGTGCAACCTGCACTATTGGATACCTTACTCCACTCAGTTAATTTAAGAGAAATCGTGTGCAAAAATTCTCCCTGATTTATAAAGGTAATGATCAAGACATACTTGAGGAAAAATTTTGAAGAATATGGGGAGAAGCTACCATCAGCGCAGATAGTGTTGTGCAGCTTCCACCTGTGCTCCAAACTTTCTAAGATTCAATGAATATTCCAAGATCCTTTTCAATTTCGGTTTTGAACCCTGGCCTTGGCTTTTCCCACAGTTGCCCTGCCATTGACCCAGAAGCACACAAACCCTTGTGGTCCCTTGTGACGATTTGATCATCATTACAATTCCGAGCAAACACTGAGCCATGTTCAGTAAACAGGGCCTAGAATGTCAGAGTATTGAAATTAATCTGGGTCGAGCATCGGTCAAACCTCTGGACATGACATTGCTAGGATGCTTTCTCTGACTGAGACCAACATGCTTGTCTTAGATTAAAAGAGGGTGCATTTCTTATATTCTGGTGCCAATAACCATGGATAGAAAAAAATATACGTTTTAAGTAAATTTAATATTGTGCTTTTTAAACAAAGTTAACAATTAATGCTGAATTCCCTTTTTAAACACTTAAATGTTTAAAAGTGTTCCTCGATCGATAGCCTTCTGGAGCAGTGTATTCCAAATGCTCGCAGCTCTTTGTATAAAGAAATGTTTTCTGGAATGACTCTTAACCTGCGTCACTTGAATGCTACATATCTCTTTCTGTTCTTTACTTAGTGAGCCCCACTAAGGAAATCAAGATAGTTTCTGCTGTGCGGCGTAGTAGCATGAGCAGCAGTTGCGGCAGCAGTGGTTACTACAGCAGTAGCCCCACCCTCAGCAGCAGCCCCCCTGTGATGTGCAACCCCAAGTCTGGTAAGAACATGCTTGTAATCCAGCTAGCCCACATTCTCGGTGGCCCATAGTGGGAGTTGTTGATAATTGTCAAAACTAAGACGTTTTGCATCCGGGAGTGTCGCCCAAGAACTGGATTGGGTTTGTCCGTAATGCTCTGCCGTTGGAATAGGCTGTAAGATTCTGTTTGGAAGGCTGGTGGTGGTGCCTGTTATACAGAACATAATAGGAATTGTCACCTTTTTGTGTGGGAGGATTGAGGCGGTTCTAGTTGGGCAGCTGCTGTGTACTGCAGTTATAAGTGATCCTCAGTGAATATTAGTGAGGCTGGAGGAAATCTATGTCGCATGCTGACAACTTTGAATTAGCTTTAATGTTCATGAGAATAACCCAAATCCTTAAACATCAGAGTGGAGCTTGTTGTGGTGTTAATGAACCTATAACCAGGAACAAATTGTACAAATGAGTTGCTATAATGTATACTAGTGTGCACTGCAAATTGCACTTCGGAAATCAATGTAAATTCCAGCTGGCCACATAGTTTCTGGAGGCCCCAGGTGTTCAATGGATAAGCAGAAATTCCCAGAAATGTTTTCCATTGCAGTCCCTGTTGTGCCAAGATCATGTCCTTTAGGCTTGAGATTGAGTTATAGTTCTTAGAATTATAATAAGTATATTAAAAAAAACGTTTTTCTATGGCTGTAACTTAATTTAGAGCCTATCACATTATATGCCTATGTAATTATAATGAAGCCACTAAATGGTTGGCTGACGTCCAAATCCTGCCCTTTGATGTGGATCATGAAAACCCTGCTTTCCGAACGTGTCTTTTGAAATACTTGCAGATCCAGCTAGCAATTTAATTAGAGTTCCTACGCTCACATGCTCTGCCCCTGGTAGTTGGGTGAGGCACAATGCTGAGTGGATGGGCTATCAGTGCAAGTTGGTTGGATAGAGTTTCCCTCTCAACTATGTACTGTTTAGGATGTGGATCAGGCTGAGCCAGGAAGACAGTGCCTTCATAATAATAACGTGCCTTTCACATCGGGAGGATATCTTAAAGTACTTCACAGGATTTACTGTGAAGTGTAGTGACTGAATTTATAGATGAACGGAGCAACAAATTTGTTCAACAATGTCCAACAAACCGAAATGAGGTGACTGAACAATTTTATCTGGGGACTTGTTGACCAGGACATTTTTGAATTATGCCATAGAATCTTTTAATACCCATCTGACAGGCAGACAGGACACCACATCCAAAGAATGACACCTCTGACAATGCAATGCTCCTTCAGCACTGCACCAAATTGATTAGAGAGCCCCCTTCCTATGTTCACTCTGCCCAGTTTCTTGAAACCAACCTGACCACTGCCAATGTGTCCATTTTCTCCCCGGCACCAGTTGAGTCTAACTTCCTTGCTCACTTTAGTCATTTCTTCTTTTCACTGGCTTGAAACTATCCATTCACTCCCTTGACCTCCCAATGACTGTCCTCCTCCAGGACTGTCTTCACTCTAGAAGACATGGAAAACTTACCAAAAATAAGAGGGGAACCAAGAAGCTAATGTTAGTGAGCAGCTTAGGGAAATTAACATCAGTAAAGAATTAGCACTAGGAAAACTGTTGGGATTGAAAAATGACAAATTCCCTGGACCTGATGGCTTGCATCCTTGGGTTTTAAAAGAGTTGGCTGCTGAGATAGTGGTTGCCTTGTTTTTGATCTTCCAAAATTCTCTGGATTCTGGAACGGTTCCCATCAATTAGAAGATCGCAAACGTAACACCACTATTTAAGAAGAGTGGGGGAGAGAAGATGGGAAACTATAGACCAGTTACTCTGACATCAGGGTAGGGAAAATCCTAGAATCCTTAATTAGGGATAACGTAGTGGGGTACATAGAAGACCATAACATGATTAGGCAGAGTCAACATGGCTTTACAAAAGGGAAGTCATGCTTAACAAATCTTTTAGAGTTTTTTGAGGATGTAACTAGCAGGTTAGATAGGGGGAACCCGTAGATGTAGTATATTTAGATTTCCAGAAGGCATTCGACAAGGTGCCACATAAAAGGCTGCTACACACGATTAGGGTACATGGAATTAAAGGCAATATATTAGCATGGATCGAAGAGTGGCTAATGGGAAGAAAACAGAGAGTAGGGATAAACGGATCCTTCTCAGATTGGCAGGATGTGACTAGTGGAGTGCCACAAGAATCAGTGCTTGGGCCTCAACTATTTACAATCTATATCAATGATCTAGATGAGGACATAGAACTTAAAATAGCTAAATTTGCGGATGATACTAAGCTCGGTGGGAGAGTAAGCTCTGAGGATGACACAAAAAGATTGCAAAAGGATATAGATAGGCTAGGTGAGTGGGCAAGAAGGTGGCAGATGGAATATAATGTGAGGAAGTGTGAAGTCATTCACCTAGGTAGTAAAAACAGAAAAGCAGATTATTTTCTAGAGGGGGAGAGACTAGATAGTGTTAGTGTTCAGAGGGATTTGCGTGTCCTTGTACACCAGTCACAAAAAGTTAGTATGCAGGTACAGTAAGCAATTAGGAAGGCTAATGGCATGTTGGCGTTTATTGCAAAAAGGTTAGAATACAAGAGTAGGGAAGTCTTGCTGCAGTTGCATAAGGCCTTGGTGAGACCGCACCTAGAATATTGTGTGCAGTTTTTGGTCTCCTTATTTAAGAAAGGACATTCTCGCCTTACAGGGTAGATTCACTAGGTTTGTTCCTGGGATGAGGGGCTTGACCTATGAGGATAGGTCTATAGAAGAATTAGGGGTGATCTTACAGAAACATAAGATTCTTATAGAGCTTGACAGAGTAGACAGTGTGAGACTATTTCCTCTGGTAGGAGAATCTGGAACTAGGGGTCACAGTCTTAAGATTAAGGGACAAACCTTTTGAACAGAGTTGAGGAAACACTTCTTCACTCAGAGGATAGTGAATTTATGGAATTCTCTACCCCAGAAGGCTGTAGATGCTCAGTCCTTGAACATATTCAAGACTAAGATTGATAGGTTTCTAAAGGATAGAGAGATTAAGGGATATGGGGATAAGACGGGCAGATGGAGTTAAGTTAGAAGATCAGCCATGATCTTATTGAATGGCGGGGCAGGCTCAAGGGGCCGAATGCCCTACTCCTGTTCCTAATTCCTATGTTCCTATGACTTTCTTGGTCTGTTCTCTCAGGCTTACATTTCTTATCCCCCTTCCTTCTTGATGTTGTAGCTCTCCCCTATCCAATTATTCAACAGCAGCAACAACAATTTTACATTTATTTAGCTCCTTTTACATCAGGAGGATGTCTCAAAGCTCTTGGCAGAATTGGCAAGGAATCTAAACTGGGTTGGGAGGAGTTGGGGAGAGTGGGGGGGTAGAGAGATGACAACTAACTGCAATAAACAGAGAAGCCTTTAGATAGACTTTAGAGATGGGGAGACGGCAGGTTGGAGCTCCAGAGAGTGAGGGGATAATGTCTGAATGTGCGCCCAGCGATGGTGGTACGGATGGGATGGGGAAATATAAAGCAGGCCAGTGTTTGCTGAGTGGAGAGAGCTTTGGCTATAGAGTTGCAGGAGGTTGCCGAGATAGGGTGGGGTGAGGCCGAGGAGTGATTTAAAATTGAGGACAATCATTTTGAATTTGATTTACTGGGGGATAGGGAGCCAGTGGAGCTCAGCAATGAAGGGGATGATAGGCTGGTGGAGCTTGCGAGTTCTGGATGGTCTGCACCAGGTGTAGTGAGAATCTGAGGAGTCCGTCATTTTAAATCACATTTGAATAGTCTAACCTAGAAAGGTGTGAATTAGCATCTTGTGTCTTGAGGGAAGGGTAGTGCTGGTGGAGAGAGAAAATCAAGTGAGTGGATCGCACGTGTAGGGCTTGAAAAGGACAGTTGATGGTCAAACAGAATACTGAGGTTTTGTGGACATGGGGAGAGAGAAAGAGGTGAGGTTTTGCAGTGTTTATTGGATCAAAACCAATTTCAGTTTGATTTGTATCGGTGGTGGGGGGGAGGGGTTTATCTGGGTGTTTCAGCTATAACTGAAAATCAAAAGTCCTAATTATGTTGACTGAGTTCATTGTCCTGACCTCAATCACCCTTCCTGGTAATTCATTCTGAGTTTTAATTTCCCTCTGAGTAAAGAAATACTTCCAAGTGTCTGTCCTTAAATTGCCCTTTGCAAACTTGAACCCGTATCCTCTTATTCTGCTGCCTTAGCATTTCTGGAAGTAATTTTATCATCAGCGTGTTCATACCCATCCAATGGAACACCTCATAAAGGTATGTATTTTGATTTGCTTAAACTTTAATCACAATTAAAAATCTCATGAAACTGGCAGAAAACGAGAGACTCATTCCCAGTTCTTTGTTAACGCACTGCACAGAAGCAGGAGTTATCTATTTATATTCTGGTGACTTAACTCTTCAAAGTACACCAACAAAGTACGGGTCACTATGTTTTACAGAAAATCCTGTGCTTTGAGATGTCCTCCAAACATGAAAGGCACTATATCAAATATAAAGATTATTATTTATTAAAGAAAAATATTGGTTTCCCTCCATATAATGCAAGCTTTCTGGTCTTCGTATCGGTATTTTTCCTCAGCCAAGCTGAACCTAACCTTGTTGTCCCACCAGTCTATGCATTAATGACTCAGTTAGTGCATTACAACACAGGGCCACCACCACATTGGTCTTTCAGCAGTGTTTTGTGATCAAACCACTCAAAGGCAAATTTGACCATGAATTGCCTGGTTTTCCAGTATAACTTGATAGGTTTACACTAACAAATTATAACTTGAACATTGGTTAGATATGTTTCATTGTACATTTAATGTTACTGTCTGTCAGTCTGCTCCTTTCGAGGCATGTAAGGACTTGAATGTTGCACTTGGAACTGGCTACACTTTTTTCTTTTTCATTGTGGCAAATTTCATGCGTGTTTTTAAAACGAAGAGATTTTTGTCAGATTAAGCTCAATGATAAAAGACTGACAAACGTATCTTCTGAACATGGTGATCATTTACAAAATTACATTTGGATGGTTTAGTAGGTAAATCAATCTTGCGTGAACCAGACCCGAAAAGATCCAGGATCGATCACTGGTCCATCTTGATTTCAGTCAGGGAAGAAGTTGGGACTCTGTAATTTGCCTCATCCTTGGTGCCTTGAGCTGGGTGGGAGGGGGGGTGGGGGTGGAATAAGCTGGAGGTCTCGCTTATACAACAACAACAACAACAACAACAAGATTCCATTTATAAAGCGCCTTTCACGTCAGGAGGACGTCCCAAGGCGCTGCACAGTTGGGTCATGACCCGAGCAGGGGGGAAATGGTCAGGGTGAGGGGAGGGAAGGGAGGGAGCGAGGGGGGGGAAGAGAGTCGAGAGGGGAGCTGAAGGCTCGGTCAAAGAGAAAGGTTTTGAGACCGGCCTTGAAGGAGGAAAGGGAGGAGGCGGCGAAGGCACTGGGGGATAGAGTTCCAGAGCCTCGGGGCTGAGAGGCTGAAGGCCCGGCCACCGATGGTAGGGCGATTGGGGCGGGGGATGTGGAGCAGACCGGAGCCGGAGGAACGGAGGGTACGGGCAGGTAGGTAGGGGGATAGTAGGTTGGAGAGGTAGGAGGGAGCAAGGCCGTGAATGGCCTTGTAGGTGAGGATGAGGATCTTGAAATCAATCCTCTGGGGGATGGGGAGCCAGTGGAGGCGAGCGAGGGTGGGAGTGATGTGGTCCCGAAGCCTGGTGCGGGACAGTACACGAGCTGCAGAGTTCTGAATGACCTGCAGCTTGTGGAGGGAGGTGGCGGGAAGGCCGGCGAGGAGAGAGTTCCCATAGTCCAGCCTTGAGGTGACAAAGGCGTGGACCAGGGTTTCAGCAGCGTGAGGGGTGAGGTAATGCCGTAGTCTGGCGATGTTCCGGAGGTGATGGAAGGCGGTGCCAGTTGTGGTGCGGATGTGAGGGAGAAAGGACAGCTCAGGGTCGAACAAAACGCCGAGGTTCCTGACTGGCTTTGAGAGGTGGAGAGTGCAGCCTTGGATGCTGATGGTGTCAGCGCCTGAGGTGCGGAGGCGCTGACGTGAGCCAATCAGGAGGGCCTCGGTTTTTCGCACGTTGAGCTGAAGAAAGTTGTCTCTCGTCCAGGACTCGATGTCGGACAGGCAGCTGTCAGGACATCGGTGGTCGTGGAGTTGAGAGTAGAGGAGGAAAGGTAGAGTTGGGTGTCATCCGCATACATGTGGAAGTTAACTCCATGTCTGCGGATGATGTCACCAAGGGGGAGCATATAGAGGGTGAAGAGGAGGGGACCGAGGACAGAGCCCTGAGGGACACCACATGAGACAGTGCGGGGGGTGGAGGAGAAGCCATTTGTCGAGACAAAGTGAAGACGGTGAGAAAGGTACGACCTAAACCACTCAAGGACAGTGCCTTGAAGGTTGAGGTGGGAGGACAAGCGGTGGAGTAGGATAGCGTGGTCGACCGTATCGAATGCTGCCGATAGGTCGAGGAGGACGAGGAGGCAGAGGGAGCCCTGGTCACAGATGGTCAGGATATCATTGGTGACCTTGACCAGGGCAGTTTCTGTGCTATGGGCAGCACGGAAACCTGACTGAAGGGGTTCGAAAAGTGAATGGGTGGAAAGGAAAGAGCGCAGTTGGGAGGCGACAACTCTTTCCAGGACCTTGGAGAGAAAGGGGAGGTTGGAGATGGGCCGGTAGCTTGATAGCTGCGACGCATCAAGGGAGGGTTTTTTTAGGGTGGGCGTGATGGTGGCAGTTTTTAAGGGAATGGGGACAGAGCCAGAGGAGAGGGACAGGTTGAATGTCGGTGATATGTGGGGCAAGAAAGTGGAGCTGGGAGATAAGGAGTGGAGTGGGGATGGGGTCAAGGGAGCAGGTGGTTGGTTTCAGGGATAGGATGAGTTTGGTGACAGAGGGTGGGGAAACAGGTACAAAAGTGAGTAGGGGAAGATGGGTAGCAGTCGGAGTGTGGGAGTGAGGGGATGGGGGGGTTGGTGGATGTTGGAGGGGAAGTGACCGCGGAGCGAATTCCCCTGATCTTGGATTCAAGGAAATCCAGCATCTCCTCGCAGTGAAGGTTGGAGGAGATGACCTGCGCGGGGTGGCGGGGGGGACGGAGGAGTCGGGTTGTGGTGGAAAACAGTAGCCTGGGGTTGTTCTTCGCCTCCAGGATTATCCCTGGATTATGTGTATGTACTGTGTGAATGTCAGTCGAGACCAAAAAAGAGTTCAGCTGTGATGGCCAAGTAGCCTGCGGACTCGTGATTGTCTGCGCTCAGAAATAAATAGCCACTTCAGCATCAATAGATAATGCAATTTGCTTGTTTTGTGCTGGAGTGTCACTTGTTTCTTTAACTGCAGTATTGAAGAAGGCCTTGACTCCCGAAGAACTCCTAACTCCAGGGGCACCATATATGAAGAGGGCATTAACTGTAAGTATTGTACAATGCTCATTCTGCTGCTATACATCTTCAAATCTTGAGATGCAATCCAATGAAGCCTTTCCATTTTGTGGAGTCCTGTAGCTTAGTGGTTAGAGCACCCACCTCGCAAGCGAGAGACCTGGGTTTGGTTCCCGGCAGGATGAAATGTTGCAAGTTTCCTTACTCCACACGCCTCTGTTTACCTAACAGTAAGTAGGAACCTGGTTGTTAGTTGATTGGTTGATCGCTTTTCCTGGGGTAATAATTCCTTCAAAACAAAATTGGTCACTTCAATCCACGACTGCTGTGCGCAATTGGCTGCCACGTTTCACCCCAAACTTATACAGTCAATTCACTTTACAGTATATTCTGTGAAGTGTTTTGAGATATTTCTAAGTCGTGATAAGGTACTATATCAAATGCAAGGATTATTATTATTTCTTCTTATAACTGAGCAGCAGCAAATATTTGAGGTTACAATACGTGCCAAGACACAGAATATACAATTGGGTCATTTTTCTCAATATTCTGAAGATTTTGGCTAGACTTGTTAAAGATATTTTACATTCTGCTTCTGAACATTCTTCATTGCATATTTTGCAAAGTTGTTGATGAACAAGCTGCAACATTGGAAGAGATAAAAGCTACAAACGTTCATTCATGCTTAATAATTGTCTCTGGGTTTCCTTTTAGATTGTCGGAGATGCAGTTGGCTGGGGGTTTGTTGTCCGTGGAGGTAAGCCTTGCCACATCCAGGCAGTGGATCCCAGTGGTCCTGCCGCTGCTTCAGGAATGAAGGTAATATTCTCAGTTAGCTAGACAGTACAGCTGATAATTATACAAAGAAGTGTCTAAATGATGTGAAACAATTTTACAGGCATTTAGACAGATTTTTGTTTTAAACTGCAGAATTTTATACAAATCAGTAAGGTTTTTACACAAATCAGTAAGTATTGCCAATTGAATTCAATTGTAGAATAGATCTGTTTGAGAGGGAAAAGAGTAGATCTTAGGTCCTGTGTATTTAGAGGGAGCAATTTTATCAGGCCATTACTGCAGATGTGCTGATTAAGACAAGCAACCGACGTAGAAATGTTTGGCTTACTGTTGGCAGTGTACTTTCTATTTTGTTGTGGGTTCAGTTTGGCAAATAGTGCAATGTTGTTGAAATCACACCTTCAGTTTGACTGTAAAAGTCTGCCTCCAGTTACAAAGGGTACAGCAGCAGTAATATCCAGTTGTATACAAAGAAATGGTACTTGGCATCTCCATTCAGATCTTTGTCAAGAGAACTCTTTTTCCTTTGTCTCTTCCACCCAATGAAATGTTTAGCCCCTATAAATAATCAAGTTGAAACCTTTTCTATCATTGCATTTTGTTTTGCTTCACTTTTCCGGAGGGTATTAACTTCTTTTTAAAAAAAAAAGAGTCACTCAGTCCATGACTGTTTGTGGGATGCTGCTGTGCGCAATTGGCTGCGCGTTTCGCCCACAAAATATACAGTCAATTCACTATACAGTATATACTGTGAAGTGCTTTGAGACGTCTGAATGATATGATAAGGCACTATATCAAATGCAAGGATTATTATTATATTATCGATACAAGTGACTGGATTGAGCAAGGTACAAAGATTGTTCCCTTTTTATTTATAGTAATAATCCTTTGCATAGTGCCTTATCATGTCTTTGATCCACCAATTGACTAACAATCAGGATCCTACTGCTAGGGTTTTCTCTAAGTGTTGTACATTTTTGTTGTATTCAGTTACCAGAATGTTAACAGCACATAAATTCCCTTCAGTTTAATATCAAAGAACTTACTTGTAACTGGCTATCTTGTGGTTCATTAGCTGGAAATTCTTTTGCAAAGTGAATTCTGACCTCTATCACGTTTTTCCAGGATTTAATGATTGGTTAATGACCCTTCTGTATATTCACTAGAGAGCCCACTCTGTGCACTAATTGGGCTATCCTTAGTTTTGTATATATAAACAACAGTGTGGATAATGTGGCATCATAAAAATACAATGCAATGTACAATAACAAGATTACATTTATAGAGCTCCTTTCACGTCGGGAGGACGTCCCAAGGTGCTGGACAGTCAGGGGTCGGGACCCGAGCATGGAGGAGGGGTGGGGTAGGGGTGAGAGAAGGCAGAGAGGTGGGAGGGTGACTGAAGGCAAGATTGGAGGAGGGTCTTGAGACCAGCCTTGAAGGAAGCAAGGGAGGAAGCGAGACGAAGGGACTGAAGGGACCATTTCTCTGTATACAACTAGACATTACTGCTGCTGTACCTTTTGTAACTGGAGGCAAACTTTTACAGTTAAGTTGAAGGTGGGATGGAGTTCCAGAGTGTGATTGAAAGTGGGATGGAGTTCCAGAGTGTGGGGGCAGAGAGGCTGAAAGCCCGGACACCGATGGTAGGGTGGGTCGGGCGAGAGACATGGAGCAGGCCGGAGCATGTACAGTACTAACCAAAGCTCCATCAAGTCACCATAGCCCCACACCGTGCCAGTTCAGCTCTTTGTGGATTGTTTGTGTGTTTCTGTGTGTGTCTATAATCTTTTTCTGTGTTTGTCTCTCTCCCCCTCTTCTCTTTCTGTCCGTCTCTTTCGTGTACCTGTGTGTGTCTCTGTTTTTCTACATATTTTTTTTTCTCTCTTTCGCTATCTCTATTTATCCATCCATCAGTCTGTCTGTGTTTTCTCTCTTGGTGTCCACCAGTTATTTTGTTATATCTATGGGGTAGAATAAAAACCCACAATCCACAATTTTTATTTTTTTAAAAAAATCTTTTAGTTACCGTTTGGCCTGTAAGGTCCTATGGTGCCCGAGACTCCTTGAATTGTGTAGTGTCAGTTCTGCTCTGTATTGACTGACAGAAAGAAGTTCAAAGATGGAAATCTGCTTTTCTCTTGTTTGGTCCTTTCAGTTAGAGCTGCTCATTTTAGCCATTGAACAACCCTTGAACCTTGGAAATTAGAATAAAGCAATTAAAATGGAGTCTCATATACGATTCCAATTGTATCTAACAGACGGATTATCTGATTTTAAACTTTGGACTACAAGAATCTCCAATATTTTATTAATTTATTTTCTTCCTTCCCTATCTCCACTTTCCCTCTGTATCGGGATGGCTGCTCTCAGGAATTCACTTGAACTAAACTTGCCACTCTTGATAGCCTGCATATGTTCGGAAAAGACAGTAATATATTCTCTGGTAAATCCATCAAAAGTGTAAAATATGTCAACAGTGACAATATGAAAACAGACTTTCAAAAAGAAAAATGTCAAATTGTTATTCGCTAAAAATTAATGGATTGAAATAAATATTTTTCTTGTATACTAAAACGGCATGCATGCTGCTCTTTCCTGGTTTATGTTATAGAATACTTGAGGTCTAGTTCAAATGGATGCTTTCTGTAGTATTCAGTGTGTTTTTAATCCTGTCTTCCGGAGCAACAGAACCCAGCCAATAGGATCCTTTTTACTCCTACAGATGAACAGGCTGCCATATGAGGGGCTGACTCAGCCTAGTCCCAAATTCCAACAGTGTGTGTGGCTTGTGCAGTCTACGGCAAAGACCAGGAAATCCTAAAAAACAGAGTTGCTTGCAAGGTTAACAAGAGCCAAGTGGGAAGAATTGCAGTCCCTAGTGACTGGTGTGCTTCACCACGTTTTGCTGATGAATCAGCAAATCAATGAATCCAACCTTCACTGCGAGGAGATGCTGGATTTCCTTGAATCCAAGATCAAGGGAATTCGCTCCGCGGTCACTTCCCCTCCAACATCCACCAACCCCCCACCCCCTCACTCCCACACTCCGACTGCTACCCATCCTCCCCTACTCACTTTTGTACCCGTTTCCCCACCCTCTGTCACGAAACTCATCCTATCCCTAAAACCAACCACCTGCTCCCTTGACCCCATCCCCACTCCACTCCTTATCTCCCAGCTCCACTTTCTTGCCCCACATATCACCGACATCATCAACCTGTCCCTCTCCTCTGGCTCTGTCCCCATTCCCTTAAAAACTGCCACCATCACGCCCACCCTGAAAAAACCCTCCCTTGATGCGTCGCAGCTATCAAGCTACCGGCCCATCTCCAACCTCCCCTTTCTCTCCAAGGTCCTGGAAAGAGTTGTCGCCTCCCAACTGCGCTCTTTCCTTTCCACCCATTCTCTTTTCGAACCCCTTCAGTCAGGTTTCCGTGCTGCCCATAGCACAGAAACTGCCCTGGTCAAGGTCACCAATGATATCCTGACCATCTGTGACCAGGGCTCCCTCTGCCTCCTCGTCCTCCTCGACCTATCGGCAGCATTCGATACGGTCGACCACGCTATCCTACTCCACCGCTTGTCCTCCCACCTCAACCTTCAAGGCACTGTCCTTGAATGGTTTAGGTCGTACCTTTCTCACCGTCTTCACTTTGTCTCGACGAATGGCTTCTCCTCCACCCCCCGTACTGTCTCATGTGGTGTCCCTCAGGGCTCTGTCCTCGGTCCCCTCCTCTTCACCCTCTATATGCTCCCCCTTGGTGACATCATCCGCAGACATGGAGTTAACTTCCACATGTATGCGGATGACACCCAACTCTACCTTTCCTCCTCTACTCTCAACTCCACGACCACCGATGTCCTGACAGCCTGCCTGTCCGACATCGAGTCCTGGACGAGAGACAACTTTCTTCAGCTCAACGTGCGAAAAACCGAGGCCCTCCTGATTGGCTCGCGTCAGCGCCTCCGCACCTCAGGCGCCGACACCATCAGCATCCAAGGCTGCACTCTCCACCTCTCAAAGCCAGTCAGGAACCTCGGCGTTTTGTTCGACCCTGAGCTGTCCTTTCTCCCTCACATCCGCACCACAACTGGCACCGCCTTCCATCACCTCCGGAACATCGCCAGACTACGGCACTACCTCACCCCTCACGCTGCTGAAACCCTGGTTCACGCCTTTGTCACCTCAAGGCTGGACTATGGGAACTCTCTCCTCGCCGGCCTTCCCGCCACCTCCCTCCACAAGCTGCAGGTCATTCAGAACTCTGCAGCTCGTGTACTGTCCCGCACCAGGCTTCGGGACCACATCACTCCCACCCTCGCTCGCCTCCACTGGCTCCCCATCCCCCAGAGGATTGATTTCAAGATCCTCATCCTCACCTACAAGGCCATTCACGGCCTTGCTCCCTCCTACCTCTCCAACCTACTATCCCCCTACCTACCTGCCCGTACCCTCCGTTCCTCTGGCTCCGGTCTGCTCCACGTCCCCCGCCCCAATCGCCCTACCATCGGTGGTCGGGCCTTCAGCCTCTCAGCCCCGAGGCTCTGGAACTCTATCCCCCAGTGCCTTCGCCTTGCTTTCCTCCTTCAAGGTCGGTCTCAAAACCTTTCTCTTTGACCGAGCCTTCAGCTCCCCTCTCGACTCTCTTCCCCCTTCTTGCTCCCTCCCATCCCTCCCCTCACCCTGACCATTTCCCCCGTCCTCGCTCCCTCCCCTCACCCTGACCATTTCCCCCCTCCTCGCTCCCTCCCTCCCCTCACCCTGACCATTTCCCCCCTGCTCGGGTCATGACCCAACTGTGCAGCGCCTTGGGACGTCCTCCTGACGTGAAAGGCGCTTTATAAATGGAATCTTGTTGTTGTTGAATCAGGCTGGCTATTCTATCAATAACAGTGCATTTGAGTACCATGGACCTGCCTGCCTCAGGAACCAGATTGCCACAAAAAATTGACACTATTCCATTATTCAACTGTTAGGCAGGTCACTTAGAGCCAATTCAACCCCAAGGAATCCATGCTTACCATTTTCCTAACCGCCTCACCCCACCACTATCCCAATCCCATAGGCCAGCACCCTTCCTCCCTGTAGCAACTCCAATTTCTAACTACAAATCCACATCGCAGGTTTGTCCTGGACCTTGCGTATGAAAGGCAACAGCACAGATGAGATCCTTTTCATTATTTAATTACTTTATTTTAAATTATTTTCATTATTTAACAGTTATTTATTTAATAGTTTTATGGATTTTTTCAGTTCTTTTTGTACTATGTTCTATCCTTGCTGTGCACAATTGGCTGTTAACTTGTTAACTTTACAGTATATTCTGTGAAGCGCTTTGAGACGTCTAGAAGACGTGAAAAGCACTATATCAAATGCAAGGATAATAATAATAATTGTCTTATCAGAAAAGTTGCTTTGAATAAACAACAAAATTACATTTGTGTAGCGCCTTTCATGTCGGGAGGACGTCAAACCGCAACACAACTTAAAAGTACTGGAGATAACAGATGCTATTCTGGTGTATGCACTGAGTTTTGTTATTGTAGCTAATTTACAAGTGTTTTCTTCTATTGTGTTGGCGTGAGCTACTGCAGCTTTGTTAGGCTTGAAAATACCAATTATTTTAACATTTAGTGGAACTTGGAATGGCTCCAAAGTATTCAGACAAGTGGAACCTTTAGCCCGCTAACATTTATTACATACTTTGAGCAAATGTCAGCACACTGCAGTTGGCCGTTGGGAAGTGTTACATTTCTCTAACTGCACAAGAAGTGCTTTTTAAAACAAATTGTGATCAATATTGTTCTGCCTCAATAGTCCATAAGTCTTCAACAAAACTGTCATTGCATTTTACAGTATATCCTGTGAAGTACTTTAGGATGACCTCCTGACGTGAAAGGTGCTGTGCCAAATGTAAGGATTATTATTGAAAATATAGTTAATCATCACAAATATTGTGGCCACTTTTAAATGGTGCAAAATAATAATAATCCTTTTATTTGATAAAGCCCCTTATCACATCATTGAGAAGTCTCAAAAGCCCTTCACAGAATATATTGTAAAGTGGATTGGCTGTGTATTATTGTGGGCGAAACACAGCAACCAATTGCACACACCAGTGTCCCACAAACAGTGACCATATTATCATCTTTTTTTGAGGATCCACAGGTGCAGTTTTGGAGGAACACTTGCTTGTGGCAGTAAATTGAGGTCCCATCTGATTTTGTTTAGATAGATATTAAAAATCCCTTTGCAATATTTGAAGAAAGAGCTTCTTCTGGGGTGCTGACCAGATGTCCTCCAGAATACTTAGTCATTCATCTTATGGGGGATTTTGGAAAATGGTCACTAGACATGGCAGCAATTAGCTGTAAAGCACATTGAGAAGTTTTGCCGTGATGAGGTGCTGTAAAAATGCAATTTTTTTTCTCTTTCAATCCTAGGTTCGTCAGTTTATCGTCTCTGTGAATGGCCTGAATGTTCTTCACGTGGATTATAGAACTGTCAGCAATCTCATTCTGACTGGTCCACGTACCATAGTGATGGAGGTTATGGAGGAAATGAACTTCTGAGCCGGATTGGTCATCTGGAAACATGAAAAGATCTGAGCAGAGGCATCAGAGGAGCAGGGTGAAAATGTGCACAAGCTTACAGACACCACAATAAGGGAATCTCAGACAGAGTTCTTAGCTTCAGGAATGGAGCTCCACCCAGTTTCACACTAATCTTTGGTTTGGCTATAAATATCTGAATGTCTCTCTTTAATATTTTCAACACTGCATCAAGAATTTATCTTTATCTGGGCTGCCAGGCAATAGGCCTTGTGTTTTAGTAACGCATAAGGGATTTCCATTATTTAAAACCACTCCACTGTCCCTCCAGAACATTTTTACCTTTTCTCCTTTCTTCCCCAATCCTGCCCTAATCTCCCCATAAAGGAATACAAAGTATAAGTTGGACAAGTTCAACTTTAGATACAAATGTTTCCTGATCTTATACTTGGTGGATTTGTGATTGCACTTTACCAACCAAAAAATGAAATTATTCTATTCCTTCAAAAAAACTCAGTCATTTTGTATAAAATGTGCCTGTAAGGAGACTGACCTTTAAGAAGGGGGAATGTCAGAAGAAGCAAAACTGATTTATTGAGAGGAGTACATAGAAAAGGATTATGTTCCCCAAAATTACAGGGGATTTCTAGTACAAAACAAATAGTACATGTTGCAAACATGAAAAATCCTGGGCACTGTTTTTTGCAGAAGGCAAACTGAATCAGCACTGCACTGAAAGATAACCCAGGGAACAGATCTGCAGTTCCTCCTACATCTGCAGCTTTGCTGCATCGCTCATCATAATAAATGTGATCGCCCTTTCAACATCTTGAGAAATAATTAGGGTGAGGCTGTCCACCCAGTTTCACACTAACCTTTGATTTGGTTATAAATATCTCTTTTTAATATTTTCAACACTGAATCAAGGATCTGCTTTATCTGGGCTACCAGGCAATAGGCCTTGTGTTTTAGTAACGCATAAGGGATTTCCATAAGCGTTCTACAAGCGTTTTTTGTCAAACATTTCAGGTACCTTTCTCCAGAAATTATCTGAACCAGAAGATGAATAATAGAAAATGTTAACACACATTGTTGAATGTAGATCATGAAAATCCTCTGAGATGTTAGAGGGCAACATCTGTCTGTTTCATTCCACTCAGATTGAAGGGATTTGAGTGAATCCAAAGAAAATGGATTGTCTATCTTAAATAAATGGAGGAGGAAGAAAATCCTGCCTTGGCTTTTCCCTCTGAGGTTTTTCATTCACAGAACATTGAGACTGGAAGGGAGTGGGTTGTATAGGGTTTGCATGGGAAAGTACAGTGACTATAAACCCTAGGTGACCTGAAATCGGAGCTGTGGCTTCTTGTAGCCCACATTTTCTAGTGAGTCTATTGTCAAACGAACTCACCTGCATGGAGGTGAGGTATCACTCCTCTATTGGATCTATGCAGAATTTGAAGACTTATTTCTAGAGTAGAATTGTTGTTTAAAGTAAACTTCTGATAATTCAACCCTGGCTTAACTTATCACTACCACTTAAGTCATGCTGTCAATATCCTGGCCGCAGTTGTTTATGTATTTTACATATGCGTAACTCGCCATTCTGGATAACTCGTCACTGAGTCCTTTCTCCTTGGAATGATGAGTTATCGGGAGTTTACTGTATATTGAAAATGAGCGTCAGGACTAGTGCAGGTTCCCAAATTTTTCAACGGTATCAAAGTTTTGTGGCTTGTTTTGGATTGTTTATCTTTTTGAAGTAGAACCATTCTTTCTGTGCTAGATTTCATCATCATGGAGAGGAAAATAAACATTTTAGGGATAACCATGGCTCTCATTGTAATTTGAAATTAGCTTCTGGTACAGACTTGTTTCAAACTCTTTCAAATATATTTAGGCTTTTGCAGATAATGACTTTTTTTTTATAGAAACAAGCAATAATGAGGAAATATGGGATTCTGAATGTCCCTCCTTGGTGCCTCAATTAAAAAATGCACTGACAACTTTTTAACAGAAACTGTTATGGTACTGCAAGCTTATTTTACATACATAGTAGATGGTGCTAAGTAGATAAATAAATAGTGGGATCAGGAGTAACTCTCTTGTTGGGCATTGTAGAGAAGACATGGGGGCAAGAAAGTGATTGGTTCATGTTCTTATGGCTAGTATATTTATCAAACTGAAACTATGATTTTACAGTGGGTACGTTTAGTGATGGCAACTGAGAATCCAACGTGTCTAACAGATAATCTTATTCTTTACTCAGCCCTTATCCCCCCACCCCCTTGCCCTGTCCCGTCCCAGTCCATACACTAGCGGCACTAATAAATAAAGCTTCCACTCAGAGAGCCAGTTGCCACCAATTCCTTATTTTTAGAACAAAGGTGAACCAGGATGGTATCTCCCCAGAATGGTGTAACCAAGTATTTTATTGAAGAGTGTGAAATGTAACCCTATCCAACGTAAAGGACTTCAACTTACACAAAGCATTAGGGATATGTGACACACACTACTGTTGGTGAGACGATCTTGTCTTGTGGGCATGCAGTTTGTCCTGAACCACTTTATCATTCAGCATACTTTTACACTGGGGAACAACCCATGCTGCTATGACTTCACATGTGAATTTGTTTGTGTATGAGAAATATTATTCCCCTACGCATTGGAACACGTCAGTCATGGAACAGGATATGGTTCCTTTGTTTATGTGCAAAATTACAAGGGTTATTTTCATTAAAGGGCATCAGCAGTGCTGAGCTGAGGGATGAGGGTAATTTCTCAAAAGAAAGTTAAGATTCAGATATGCAAACTAAGTAAAAAAAACTTGCCATACAAACATATAAATATTGGCTTATGCCGCATCTAGGATAAGAATTGTTAACAATTAGGATAAAAAAATCAATGTGCAAAGGAGATGTAAAAGAAGCTACACCAGTGTTGCCTTTATTGTGTTTCAAACTGGATTATGTGGCTTATGGTGAAATGCTCTTTCAGGAATAAATGGGGCAGCAGTGCCCTGTAAAGGAGTCCATAATCTAAAAGTGCTCGCTTTTCACCAGGGAGTTTAGCAGATGTTTAGGTGGAATTAATCTAATTGAACATGATGCAAGGTGGTTTTCTTTATTGGGGCTACGGGGGTGGGGGGGAAAGAAGGAAGAGAGAAGAAATTATGCCCTACGAGGAAACGATGGGAGAGGTGTGGATTGCTGAAACCGGTCATGTGTTTTTTCATACAGTGCAAACTGACATAAAAGAATGAAGTGCCACACATCTTGCTAGCCTTCTCACCTCGAGGTTAGAACTTTGTGGGCTCAGATCCCATGTCAGGACTTGAAGCTGACACAAGTGCAGTACTCGGTGGGAGCACTGCATTGTCAGAGGTAGCAGCTTTCAGAGGAGACGTTAGGATGAGTTTTCACCTGCCTGTGCACGTGAGCATTTATCAACCCATGACACCATCTAAAAAGAGAAGGAGTCCTGGCCAACAATCCACCATAGTAATTAGCCGTTCAACTCATCACTGTTTGTGGGACCTGTACAAATGGCAACCGCATTTGCATACAAAATAAATCACGACACCAGCATTTTGATAAATACTTTGACTTAATGAAAATAAAAAAATGCAAATTTTCTTCAAACAAGAAACCCTTGTCCTGAATATAATCATGGAGGTCGGTTCCCTTTCATCATTTCTCCAACCACTTCAGACAGAATAGTTTCCAGTAGCAGCAGTTTAGTGCTGTAATGCAGAATCAGTGGTGACCTGGTGTCGCCTGCCATTGCACTGGTAGGACACTTTTAAATATCACTTAGAGTTTATTCAGTTATTGAACTAACTTTGCAGCGCTGCTGAAGGTGAAGATTTCTATATTGCTGACATTTTCCCTATAATTAAAGAGTCAGTCATACACTGCTCCTATTACCCAGGAAACACAAAGAGATGCAATTTTTGTCTCATTCAGTGACAAAAGGACTATCGTTATAGTGATGGCTGTTTGCAACACCCAGCTTTAATTATTTCTCTCTGACTGGTACAAAGTTAGAAAATTCAGCAAAATACATTGGAGCGCAAGTGTGCATTTCAAAGCAATAGCTTGGTGCCCGGCCTTTACACTTATTATATTCAACCTCACAGTGTTTTAATTACTCACCTCTCAATATTTTTCAAATTGGTTGTTTCAAACACCATCTCATGGAAATGTATAATCTAACTGAAGCGATACCACATATTTTAAACTCAGTACAATATTACTGCAATGTACAACTACTCTGTCCTCCCCGGCCCCCTTTCCCCGCTGCTAAACACACATAATAAAATTTGACTCAAATTTGGGTGTAAATAGAATATAACAAGTAGCTAAGGACTAAATGACAATTTTACTTGCATGCACATTCTATAATTATGCTTCTGTACAAGTATACATTCAGCGGAGAGTTGACCTCTCTAAGCATTGCACTTTCTTGGCTTTGAATGTGGTAGGGAAATGGTTAATCTACACCTGTGTGCACTTGTGACACGGTGGAAGGTACAAAAGTTTGTTTTTCTCCATGTAATTAGTTGACCTGACCTATAGACTGTTCTTGGGGCTGTTTTATTTCATATGAGATGGAGTAATAAACAGACCTTGAAGTCAAGCAGTACAGCCTTGCTCGAAAGTCATAAAAAACAAAGACCTACAGTAAAAATGACGTGAGTTGGAAGTGTACAGTTTGTTAACTTGTAAAGAATGATTGCATCCCACAGCTGTTTTTCAGTGTAAGCAAAACCTTAATATCCAGCCACATAATGCAAACAATAGCTCTGGATATATACAATGGTATCTAAATCAATGCATGATAAAATTATTAAATGTAATGCTTTGCTGGGTATTGGGTTATGGCATTACTTTGTAAATAATAAATAAATTGGATTACCAATTACTGTTTGCTTTATAATGAGGAGTCATGCAATGTTTGATGACTTTATTGGAATTATGACAAACTAAGTCATATCTCTTGACATTTCGAGCATGATCCAAGATTAGGTAACTAACTGAACTAGTTACGAGAATGTTGACTAAACTATTGCGTTAACCTTTTTTGGTGCCATTTGTAAGACAGGTACGTCCATCAGTCTCGTGCAATGGGAGCCATCTGCAAGTAGGGAGGCTACATGGACGAATGCGTATCATTCTTTTTCAGAAATTCTATTTTGTACATGGAAATATTTTAAAAAGAAAACAAATGCAGCATTTTTAGAAACTTCTATATAAAGTAGGATTTTTTTTAAATACCAGGGTATATAAAGGATTTTCAATTTGCTGTATAAATGCTCCAATTGTTTGATCAACATGTGTTTGTCTGGTACTATCTGTATACCTGTTTGATTGAGAGGCTCACTGATAATCTATCGGCAATCGGTCTGACTTGGGTCATTTCGAAACAAGTTCAAGGTCTTTATTTTATAGTAGTTATAACTCTGTAGTAAGAAGATGGATTATTGTTAAACAGTGATGGGCATTTCAGAACCACAAGAATTGGCCAAAAAAAATTTATAAATCAGATATTTTTTATTACACCGCATTGAAGGATGTTGTACTGTATCATTTACCACTGTCACCAGTGGAGCTAAGAATATTTACTGCTTATCTCTCCAACTCCAAATGTTTCCCCACATGTACAATAAATTCAAGTGAACTTTCAATGTTGCTATTTCTTGTTGTTACAAATTTATTCAGGATTGTCGAGAAAAATGCCCATAAAGGTTTTACCTGAATTCAGACTGTTGGTGATGGTTGCTTTTTTTAAAATAAAAGATCAGAATTTATATACAAAGTTATTTTTGTAAATCGGTAAAGTGGCATTTTATTGGCTAATGGTATTAATAGTGCAAAGAAGTGTAACGTGACAGATTGCTGTAGCTCAGAATGTGAAATAAATCTTGGTTTAATTTGTTCTTTTAAAACAAAATGTTTTTCTTGTGTCTTCATCATATCTTCATCGTATGTAAAGTACTCCACTGGCTTAATTTAAAATTTTACCTTCTGAAATGTGCCTTGTAGCCATTTTTTGAGGGGCAGCATAGCTCAGTTGGCAGCACTATCACTACAAGGTTGTTGGTTCAAGCTCCACTTCAGGCCTTTGAATTCAAAGTGTAGACTGACACTCTAAATGCTGTATTGGGCCAGCACTGCTTTTGTTGGAGGTGCTGTCCTTTGGATGAGATATTAAAACTGAGAACCCATCTGCCTGTTAAGGTGGATGTTAAAGGTCCCAAGGCACTGCTTGAAATGAATAGGGAGATTCTCCTGGTGTTCTGGCCTCAAATAATTTTTTTTGCATGAAAATGATACAGCTGTAAACTGGAGAACATTCATTGACGCTTCCCTGAACTCCACCTTTTGTCCTTGCCAACCTAAAAATGTTGTCAGCTTTATTTGCACCAATGTAATTTTAAAGAATATACCTTTTTAAATTGGTTCTCAATAGACAATGCAAACTGTTACCACCAGTCTGTAGCACTTTCCTGAATTAATTCCCTGTCATGAATGCATGGCTGCTGGACGGAATCTCAATTCCTGCACGTGGAGAGTGCAAGGTGGTTGCTGGCTGGAAGTAGCAATGTGATTTATGAAGGGGAAGTGTGCTAGTTTACCTGATTGATTTATATGCGCGCAGCCTCTGTATATAAGTGCAGGTAAAGCTGCTGGGATTTGACATCATTCAATGCCACAATCAGAAGGGAAAATAGGTGACTTTGAGGAGTTTATTCTGCAAATTCAGCATTAACAGCCCACATTCACAAGTACTGTACCAGTTTTGAAAAGGTATTTACATATCCTGGTAGAAAATAAAGCTAGTGGGGAATACAATGCAATTATAACAACTTGCATTTATATAGAGTCCCTCACAGGGTAGTGTCCTAGAGCGCTTGACAGTGGTGGAGCATGAGACCGAGCCTGGGACTTGTCTATCGGATCAATTTAGATGCTACATAGCCCAGGTGAGAGATGTTCAAGCATTTACAAGAATTGTCTTGAGCTTTGTCATAATATTCTTTCTTGAAGTCATTCCAGGAATAATTAGAGTTACATTGAATAATACAGCACAGAAACAAGCCATTCAGCTCAACCAGTCCATGCTAGCGTTTAAACTCCACACAAGCCGCCACCCCTACTATTGCCCTCATCGATATCCCTCTGTTCCCTAAACCCACCTATTTATAATTCTATATCTCCTATAATTTTCATATCTGTTTACTATTCTTTAGCGTTCACGTCATGACCCAACTGTGCAGCGCCTTGGGACGTCCTCCTGACGTGAAAGGTGCTTTATAAATGGAATCTTGTTGTTGTTATAGAATCTGTATGCTCAAAAGTCCAACTAGTAAGCCGTAAAACCATTTTGTCTTAAAAAAGGAAGATTGTACAGAATTGTGTAGAATTCTTACATTTGGAAGCTAGCTCTTTTTAAGAACGCAGAAAAGTGGCAAAATATTTAAACCGTAAGACCCACTGGCTAAAACTGGGTGAACATTATAGCTTATAGACTATTTTCAGAACAGAAAGAAACCATTCAGCTCATCGTGGTGCCTGTTCTGATGCTATTTCCTTCAATATTGCTCAGATCCCTTTCCCTGTTTTTCTCCTGTATCATTTAACATTATTTCCTCAAGCATTTGTTCAATTTTCATTTCAATGCTGTTAATGGCATTGGAAAGAGTAAACTGTGGAAAATTCCTAAATTCACTCTTAAATTTGGAAGCCAAATTTCTCAAGAATTGTGGGGAAGCAGCTTCCAAATTAAGACTGAATTTAGGAATTTTTTGAGATAATTCGCAATATCAAATTGCAAGAGAAAATGGCCTGTTCCACTAAGACTGGGTGTAATTTCAGGCCATGTTATTCTGAGTTTTTTTTGTGTTGAGCAGCTGTTACAGATGCTGAGTGTCCAGATCCCAGTTGTCTGATTGTATGATTTGTGATGGTGTTGTTTGAAGTTACTCAGCAGAAACATCTATGACCAACATACACATATTTTTCAATTTGTTTTTCTTCTCCTGAATTGAACATGTCAGTGTTGCACCAGCACTACACTGGAATGCCAGCCGAGGATCTGAGTTCAAAGCCCTGACATGGTACTTGAATCTACAACGTTCTGAGTCATAGGGGAGAATGCTACCAATTGAGCCAGGCAGACACCTAATGTTTTGACATTATAAATGTTATAAAAATGCTCATTCAACAACAACTTTCATTTACATAAACATATTTGACATAGGATAAATGTCTCAAAGCGCTTTTACAAAACAGCCCAGAAGATTTAGCCCAGAGCAGGAGGAGAGGAAGGCGAATTTAAGGGTGTTGACCAAACTACTGTCAAATGGTTTGAGTTTTTAGGTGGGTTTTAAAGTACTATATGAATGTAAACTTTTTTGTCCTCCAGTATAACACATGCATTTATTCGCTTTATACTTTTCTTGCAAATTCATGAGTTGGAGCAGAATAGCTGCAGCTGTTCAAACATAAATCATGGGGACAGAGTAACTTCAATTTGATCCAAATTCCCACGATTTAACTCCAATCTGGGTTGGGCCAGTTAAGGGGTGGGACCACATTAAATCATCGGATCAGCTGGATCAGATGGCTTGCATCTGGACTCTCAGAGTCAGTGTTGGCTGTTTTACACACAAAACATCCCCAAATTATTCATTTTATCAAAGCTACTAATTTTAAAAGTGGCTGAAATAAATGCAGTTTATATCACTTGAAGTGTGTTGAGTTAAAGTACTATGTTGAATATACATTGTACGTATTGTAACTTGCACAAAGAAATGAATACATCTTTACGAAACATCTTTGATCATAATTTGGTCACTCAATCCATGACTGTTTGTGGGACACTGCTGTGCGCAATTGGCTGTTTTGACCACAAAATATACAGTCAATTCACTTCACAGTATATTCTGTGAAGCGCTTTGAGACATCTAGTGGATTCCTGTAGCTCAGTGGTTAGAGCACTCGCTTTGCAAGTGAGAGACCTGAGTTCAATTCCAGGCAGGGCGAAACCTTGGGCAAGTTTCCTTACTCCACACACCTAATAATAATCCCTCCAAAAACCCAAACCAATAATAAATTGGTCATTTTCAATCTACGACTGTTTGTGGGACATTGCTGTGCGCAATTGGCTGCCGCATTCGCACACAAATATACAGTCAATTCACTTTACAGTGTGTTCTGTGAAGCACTTTGGGACGTCCTCCCGACGTGAAAAGCGCAATATCAAATGCAAGGATTATTATTATTATCTCAAAGGCATAAGGTGCTATATCAAATGCAAGAATTATTATTATTGATGGAGACATTATCCACCTTGGTCTAGAATTACTGTATTAATGTAATATTTTAGAGCATTTGCCAACAATTTGTTCAGGAAACATGAAGGACATAGATGATAGCAGAACGTGAAGATACTATACTGCTTTTTCTTAAAGAAATTATATATAAGAGAACTGCTGCTACTCCAAGCTCTGGTTACATTTATACTTAAAAGATTATGGAATTGAGTCTGTCTCCCTCCTTCATGTCTCCATCTGTCTCAGTCTCGGGTGTTTCCTATTAGTGGGAAATTACTGTAAAATTAGTGGGAATGTGTCAGGAGAACAGAGCTTTAACCCTCACACTTTGACTCATCTGAATCCCTTGATAATGTTGCACACCCTCCCACTCATCTCTCGTTCTATATAGCTTCAGCACAACATTCGATCCAGGTGTGAGAGATCCCACTGTCTGTTTTGTTTTTCGACTCTTTGCAAATGGTTGGCGAGCCTCTTATGGAAGAAAATCTCTGCGTATTAATTTTGTGGTGATTCGCAGCCCTGGTCTATACTGTGGGAGGTCTCAATCAAAATAAAGCATGCAACTGTATGTTGGAGAGCTGGAAGGAAAAAATGCACCTGACAGCAGGGATCACAGTCAGCAGCTACAGGCACTGCTTGTAATGGAAAGGCTGAGCAATCTCTTGGGAGGTAGATTCTGTGAAGTCTGTGATGGTGTGTGCATTAATTATATGTTCCTTGGATTTGCATGGATTGGAGAGAAGGTAGCTGTTTGCTTTCTGTGCAGAGTGGTGTAAGGTGAAACCTACTTTCTTTCTACTGTATTGGTCATGTAAACCCAGACAGCCAACGCTGTATCTTTCTGTTCACAGCATGTAGTGGAGCTATTGATCAATATAAAGGTGCGACTGGCAGGAAGAACTGTTTCTCGACACAACTAGTTATTCATAACAGCAGGGCCCTGGCAGGCTGGTGGGTGCATGCTGGAGCCTCATTCAGGTGGATACAAGGCAGTGAAAAAGCAATACATGATCACACTACATGAATATAAGCTCAAGGGCACTGAGATTACACAAGTTTCAGCACACTAAGCACATTTGTAACACACTTAGTCTTTAAATACCTTACAGAAATTACACCAGAGTGTGTATTGAAGTAATGTTGGAATCTAACCAGCTAAAACCACAAAGCTTGCCATTGATATCACTGTCTAGCAGTTTTTCCAGTAAATGTCCAACATAAGAACACCCTACCCGTTGGGCTTTGGCTTGCAGGGTTAGCAGGAAATGAGCGGGAAGAGTCGCTGCCCCCAGTGAGTGGTCTGCCCTTCCATGTCCTGCCCGTGAGCCAGGCTGGCTGTGCTGTCATCAGCAATGCCCTGGCGTACTGCGGATCCGCCTGGCTCAGGAACTGGACCTCTGAGATCACCACAGAGGGTGGGCTCGATTCTGACATTCAGTTGCCAAACATGTCTCCTTGGAACCAGTTCAGCCCCAACGAGATCCCACTTACCTTCCCCCCGCCCGCCCCTCCCGGAAACTAGTCACTAGTTGGTCATTTGACATCCGACAAGCCCGGGTTTGAGGCTCTCACTAGGTGGATGGCAGGTACCAGGAACTCCCTGCGAGTTTCC